CAAGAAATAGCCTCAAGGTTCATGCCACAGGAACAGGAAACTATTCCAAACAAGGCTAGAGGGGATATAAAAACCTACTGCCCATGTGCTCAACCCCTCTTTCCTTTCCTCTCCTCTCCTCTTTCTTGCAAGGACCATCTTTCTGCTTCTTCAATAAACTGTAACCTTCTTCCCAAAGCAGTCGCCATGTTGCTTATTTATCCCCAGCTTGGATGAACCAGGATGAAGACTTACTTCTGATAGTACAAAGCTAGTTGAACAATCATACCCATTAAGTGCTTCTGAATGGCTTGCATTGATCTGGAAGTGGTGAGTGGCATACTGCAGGGTAATAATCTGTGCAATATCGAAGTGCATATATTGTGGGGAACTATGTCAGGCAGCAGAACATGGGCAATGGATAGATCAAAAGATGAACATGAACCAGCAGTGTCATACAGTTGCAAAAATGCAATCCATGTCTACATTAAATAAGTACAATGGCAAGACCAAGACAAGTCATTGTTCCTCTATTTGTGATGGTCATGCTGCACTTAGAGCATTCCATCAAGCTCTGGATATTGGATTTAGGAAAAATGATAGTAAACAGCTACGTATCCAGGAGATGACAATCTAGATCAGTGGTGGGATTCAGCCGGTTCGCGCCACTTCGGCAGAACCGGTAGCTAATTTTTTATTGCTCAGGCCCAGAATGGACTTCCGGAAATGGCATCCACACAGAGAACCGGTTGTTCACATATTTGAATCCCACCACCGGTCCAGATGATAAAAGGCCTGAAAGGAAAGCTTACCAGAAATGGTTGGGAGCATTTGGTACTTTTAGCCAGAAGAAGAGAAACATCTAATGAAACCTGACAGTTAACTTCAGGTATTGAAAGAATGTGAAATATGAGTAGCATTGTTCAGCATTGTCCCAGGACAAGTCATAATTAATTTACATTACAAGGAAGTATATTTCATTTCAATATGAGAAAAAAATTCTGACCAAAACAGCTGTTCTACAATAGAACAGATTGTCTTGTGATTAAACAGTAGGCTGGATAGAGAGCTATCAAAAGCTGTACTGAACTTTCTGAAGCATTTCATTTCAGCTCTATATATCACAACAGAAACTCGTCAACAGCTTCTGAGAACAGCTTTCCCAGGTTTCTGAAGGCGGCCTTTCCCAAATATGCTTGGGAGGCATAAAATCTGATAAGCCCTGAAGCCAAAGCAGAGATTTACCATTCTGCTTACTGCCTTCTCAACAGAATCAACCCACATGACAAACACCTGATAACCCACTCACCACCGCCTGTATCTGTCATAATGGGAAAAAACATTTTTGAAAATAAATATAAAAGCTGTTATAATTTACAGATCTTTCCCTCTGCCATCTAAATAATACAAGTTTTTATTTTCACTCAGCAGGCAATAACTTCCCTCCGACTCAGTTTTAATCAAACTCCTTTTAGCCCTATTACTTTTTGTTCCTTGCTGGCATCCAGACTGGTAAAAGCAGTTATGTGTGTGTGTGGGGAGGGGGAGGAGTGGAGAGAAAGAGGGAGAGAGATACTTTATCCAGCTAATTCAGAGTAGCCTACTAGATTGAGCTTTCATAGCCTAGCGCCGGAGTCTTCGAACTTGGCCCTTTTATGACATGTGGACTTCAACTCCCAGAATTCCTCAGCCAGACATGCTGGCTGAGGAATTCTGGGAGTTGAAGTCCACAAGTCATAAAAGGGCTAAGCTTGAAGACCCCTGGCCTAGCGTTTCCCCGTGTACAAATACCATAGTCCGCACTGAAAGGATCCCGCCGGCAGAGAATGATGGAGCCTATGATCCTGGGAATCTAGAGGAGGCCAGTATGGCCAGAGGACAGACTCCTATGCTGTGGTACCATCTGTATTTCCCAGAAGCCATCCGCCATTGGCTTTTGCAAGTTGCTTGCTCTCTAGTAATGCTACACAGGAATGCAACGCTGCGTTAGTCTTGAGGAAGCGGTGCATCCCACCAGGGCGGCCTGAAAACCCGGCCAGAATCCCCGGAGCTAAAGTGGGAAACGCGAAGGGACTCTCTCTCGCCTTCCCACCCCCCCCCCCCAGCCACACCTGCGATGTCAGGCCCTGCTCCTCGTCGTCCTCTCCTCTCAGCACCCGCCGCAGCTTCTCCATCGCCACGACAGCACGCTCCGCGCCTCTGATCCCTTCGAAAAACAACCCCCAAACCCCGCCAAGCCTGAGTGCTTCGGTTGGAACAGCTCCTCTTCCCTCTAAGGAAGCGTCAAACCGGGAGCTGGGAGAACGGAACCGGAATTCAGGGAGCGGGGAGGGGCCTGGAAACCTCCCTTGTGACTTCACTGGTTCGCCTTTGTTCCTAATTGCTGGCGAATGCCGTTTCTGGTTCTTCCCGGGATAACTGCTACCGGTAGTCCTGCTTCCCGTATATGCTGTTGAATAGCGACCTCCTAATAGTACTCAACGAGCAGGTGCTCTGAGGTTCTTTGTGATACAGTCGGTGATTCCGAAGCCGCCCCTGTTCCAACATTTACGGTCCGCCACTGTCAATCCAGCTACCTGCCCAAAGTGATCCAAGCAAAAGTGTAACTGGCTGAGACAAGCTACGTTACAGAGCTTGAGCTACTCTGGAAAGGTTGGGAACGAGGCTTGGAAGGTGCAGTTTGTCTGTTGGACGATCCAAACTATGTAACAAAAGTGGGATTTCAATCCTGCTCGCTGTTGATGGAGCAAAGGGCCATTCTCTTCCCTTTTTGTGATATATAAACACAGTATACCTACTGTGTAAAGCACTGGTTCTCAACCTATGGGTTGGGACCCCATTTGGGGTCCAACGACCATTTCATGGGGGTCGCCAAACCACGCTGTCCGCCATTTTTTTCCCTTTTCCCCAGCTGTCCTACTCCCTCTTACTGGTGGCCACACCCACTTGGGGGTCATCACAACATGGGGAACTGTATTATGGGGTCACGGCATTAGAAAGGTTGAGAACCACTGGTGTAAAGAGTCGCTTACAACCTGGCGCCTAAAAATAAACAGAATAAACGGTAGGACTGTCACCGAACAGGCAGAATGCAACAATACATTATGTGCCAGCAAATCGTTGTCGACTCTAGGTTTTCCGCATGAGCAACAATATAAGCCAAGCATAATTTCATGGAAAATCTCCTTTGACACTGCCCGATAATGCCCCATATTCAGAACCTCGCATTACTTTTATCGTTCACTAATTCACCTAATCTGTCATAAGCAGTGAAATCAATCACACTTTTTCTTTTCTGTATGAATATATATATTTCTAAATATAGAGACAGCCTGAAACCATTTATTTAACACAGACTTTTTTCAAAATTACCCAAAATTTACATTCCCTTTTCATACTGGCAGCTCAATGTCCCAATCAGTTTTCTCTATTGTCTCATCTTGTTTCTACCTATCCATTCATGTATCCCAGGGGTCTTCCAACTTGGCCCTTTTATGACTTGTGGACTTCAACTCCCAGAATTCCAACGCTGGCTGAGGAATTCTGAGAGTTGAAGTCCACAAGTCATAAAAGGGCTAAGTTGGAAGACCCCTGAGGAATCCTAACTGAATATTATCACCCCTGCCCCCATCACATTCATTCAGAGCTTTGTATGGTTTTCCCCTACATTTCTCTGATTCTTTCATTCCATTGCATTCTGGAACGTAATTTATATTAATCACCAACCCATGAAATCATATGCTCACATACAACACAATCTAGATCAACATTTCTCAGTCTTTTAAACTTTTCAAGATTATGGGTCACTGATTGTGGTAATAACAATTTCATAATTTCTGATTTTTACTTTTGTGCTTTTAAATCAATTTTTGACTCCTGGCATTTGCTGGTTCTGCAGTTTTCTTAACTTTTCTAAAGTCGTTTGCCTAAGTATTCTTCCTCAATTTGGGAGACGATGTCTGGCCAAATGTCACCCAATTAGCTTTTTTGCCCATGATTGGCTCCCAGGTTTTTGTAGAAAGATAGAAAAGCCTTAGTCACACCCATTCCATGTGTAGCTTTCTTCACTGGGGAGATAGAGCTGGTCAGTCTGAGCATATTTTTGTTAATATTGCCACAAGTGCAGCCAAAGTACCAAGAACTTTATCCATACAGGAAGAAGATATATATGTAGCTTTGTGTGTTCTCTTTAAGACCAATTAGCATCCATAGGAAGAAACAAAAATCACATCATGGAACAGCTTTGTTTCAGAAAATTAGTTTTCTATATTAAGGCCATTTCACGGCTATATAAAATCTGGAGGCAGTCACCATCACATATTGCTGTGCTTCCCAACATATAGAGAATTAGTTCATAAATATATTTGGGGGTGCATTTAATTATCTATATAATAAAACAACAAAATTTATGTACAACCAGACTACATCCCAGGAGCTAAATTTCTGTAATTCAGAAATCACTCGCTTTTCCATAGTCAAGTATCTAGAATCAATTGTTTTGTTATTTTCCTTAAAATATGTAAAAGTAGCAACTGTTATTTTTATATAAAAGTTATATATATATAGTAATAAAATGCACTTTTGCCCTATTCTAATGATGCAAAGCTTTTTATTATATATGCGGGAATTTGATCTAAGGATGCCTATAGTGAATTAATAGATTGATTACTTTTGAAACCTCAGTTTTGTGAAGAGAATTCTGATTACCTGTCTTTTCTTTTTATAGAGAAATATGTGCACTCTTCCATCATTAAGAACAAAATTTAATTATCCTGAAAAATCTGATAAAGTTTAGGAAATAGTAATAGCTTACTATTTTTACACCCATACTCTTTTTATTAACCAATACAACCCAATCAACATAAGTAAATAATAATACAAAAGAAAATACATGTCTATTTTCACTGTAATGTTGGCCTGAAAATTGAAACATCGTATTGAGAAAGAAAAAATAGATCTCATTTGTAAGAAGTTCTACCTTAAAAAGTACCATTTTCTAAATTGACACCATTAAAACTATAAATTGTTTCAAAGTGGTTTATTGCCATTAGAACATTTATGTTGTAATTTCTCCCCATAGGGAAGGTTTACTGCCCCAAAGTTGTTGAAGTAAAACATTATAAGACAATCTATATATAGTGCATTACAATTGTTGATAAAAATCACAACAAAAAGGTCAAATTAAACTAATAATCTTTCAAAAGTATTCATTCTTATTTTTTTATGTTAATAATATGGCATCTGCGGATGAATGCAAAAATAGAATCATACTATTTTATTTGTTATAAATAAGAGTTCAATTGGACTCTTAAGAGAGATGCTATCTACACCGCAATAGGATGTGGTACAGTAACTACTTTGCTCACAGGTACGTGTGCTTATAAAACATCCTGGCACTGAATGTATCATTTGCAGAATGCTTACATACAAAGGTAAGATGATATATTTTACCAAATCATGTAAATTAAGCTGTGTCAATTTTGTATTCTAATGTAATGAATCAGGACAGAGTTTGTTGGAATCCACTCATAAATTAATTGGCACCTCACTGCCTTTTTTATTTCTTCGTAAAAATAATTTTAAGTATAAGTGTCAAATATAAAATTTAGCAGTTGTAATATATTTAAACTATTAGCCTCACAAAAGTTAATTGAGGAATCAATTTTCAATTGCTTATATGGAGAACTGATAACCAATCTTGACTTTGTAAGTGTTAACAAATGATGCTTTTGAATATTTTACTTTGCTCCAATGCTCTTAGAGGCAGAATCACAATTTCAATGCATTTGTACATCTGACTGCAAAATAACCAACATTCAGTTTCAAAAATCACATTTTATTAATCATGCCTTTTCTTGTTTTTCTTAAATTAGCAGGGTTTTTTATTTCAGAAAAGTTGGTACATATTTGAGTAATTTTGTAAATATTAAAAAATTATTTTAAGGCAGGAAAGTAATCTAATTTTTGAACAGCTGTGCAGTACTTTGTATAAGGGAAGCTTAAAAAGTTAACAAATGATACTGAATGCTAGTATGAATATTTCCATGATGGTGGTGATGCAAAAAAACAAAAAGAGATGATGACAAAGTCCTTCCTTGCTTGTATTCTGTGAAGAGCAGCACCTTTTAAATTTTTCTCCATGAATGAAATATTCAATTATTTTTTTTCAGACTGTCAGGAGGAATAAAAATGGAAGGAAAAGAAAAGGATTAATTCACTGACATAGATGTTAGAGCCCAAAGCATGTAAGAAATCTAAAAATATTTGAAAGTTTTAGTTAATGTAAAAGAAATAATTACAGTATACTCACTTATATTTGATCAACCTTCCTCCTTGAATAAGTTGTGCAACTTCATTAGTGAAGTGACAAGCAAACAACAACCAGTTCCTGGGTTGCACCTTATATGCAAACCTCATAAAAGTCAAAGAATAGCAGCAAAGTGCTGTAAAAAGAAAATTAATGTTCAATGACTTCATATTCTTAGATTTAGAACATTCACTTTTAGTTCTGCAAGTACAGTACTGTGTTATTGCATAGCCAAAGAATCTCATTTTACGTATATTTTACTATCTTACAAACATCATTATTAATAAAACTTAAAATAATAACAGGTGTTATCTCAGAGGACTATTTTATAAATGAAGCCACCCTGGCACCCAAAAAAATATGAAAGGCTCACAATGGGCCTCCTTGATGTACAAATGTAACCTCCACATTTTAAGAGGTAAAGAACTGGGTAATGGGAAAAAAAAATCTCTTAGTGGACAAATAAGCTGGATTTAGATCAGAAAGCTCCACAACAGACAACTGTGTTGTTTTACATGGTAACAAGTAATTAACATAAACTGTTCGCTGCTTTCATAGACCTCAGTGTGGTTCTTGATTCTTTAAAGAGAAGCATGCTGTGAAAGAAATTGGTTATCTTAAATCTAGACTCCTGGTTAAGGCTTCTACTCAAACACCCACTTGAAAGTGTGTACAGGGGCAAACAGTTCTGTACCTCACAGTATACCTATCCATAAGATATTAGATAGTGTTGTATTCTAACCCTGATGCTTTTTAACCTCTATGTCAATTATATTAGACACTTGTATGCCAAAAATCCATGATAAAAGTATTAATATTCTTTTATATGTTGACAATGTGGTTGTCATGGAGCATTCTCAAGTAAGTCTGAGAAGACTGTTGTAAAAGCTAAATATCACCAACCAGAAGCCACCTTCTGGTTGGTGATTCAATTATAAGGGATGTAAATTTAGGAAAGGACACAGAAGTTTCAAATGAGGTCAGGTGTCTTCCAGGTGCTACTGCCAGTAGGGACAAGAAATGTATTTGTAAAATAATCAAGAATACCAGCGAGGACTGTGATATGGAGGCTATTGTACATCTTGGCACTAGCGGTTTGTCCCAAAAAGATGTACTCACTGTGCAGAATGACTTCCAGAGCCTGGGGCAGGAACTTAGCAGAATAGGCTGTAGGCTTATTTTTTCAGAGGTCTTACCAGTGTATAAGGACCAAATAGAAAAGGCCAGCGTATAGCACAATTCAATATGTGGCTAAAGGAGTGGAGTAAAGGGGAAGGCTTTGAATATATATATTAGCCACGATGTCAGCAGCTGGTCCAATGAAGAAATGTACAAAAGAGATGGTTTGCATCCATCAAAGAAAGAGACTGAGTTACTTGGCTATAAATTCACAGATTTTCTGGAGGAATATTCAAACTAAACAGCGGGGACAGTGAGTTAATTGATACAGAACATCCCTATCCCCGGCAATTTAAAAATTATAGGGCTATCAGTGCATGTAACATAGATGTGCGTGTGTGGACAAGAATTTCAACCTTGCTGTCAAGCAAAATCAAGCTCTTAGTAGTGAGTGCCACACAAAGTGCACTAACCAAATAGGTGGTAAGACATTAGGGGAACTCAGGCACCACACAGGTTATGTAGGAAGTAAACACAGGGTCGGTCATAAAGGACTCAAATGTCTATACACAAATGCACAGAATGTGAACAGCAAACAGGGTGAACTAGAAATTCAGGTTAATGAGGGCAGATATGATATTGTTGCCATAACGGAAACATGGTGGGACGAAACCCACCAATGGAACATACAGCTAGAGGGATTTAAATTATTTAAAAGAAACAGACCAAATAAAAGAGGAGGTGGAGTTGCTCTCTATATAAGAAATAACTTCATCTCTACAGAAATAGAGCACAACAATGATGAAAACTGTCCTGAATGCATATGGGTCAATATAAAAGGGGGAAAAAACAACATTGCCATAGGTGTATGCTATGGGCCACCCGACCAAACAGAGGAAATAGATGAACTTTTTGCTAGTCAGCTAACTAAGGTATGTAGGAAGCACATCACAATAGTAATGGGGACTTTAACTACCCTGATATCAACTGGGAAACAAACTCTGCACCAAGTGGAAGATCAAACAGATTCCTGACAAATCTAGCAGACAACTTTGTCTCTCAAAAAGTAGAGAAGGGAACTAGGGGATTAGCCATTTTGGATCTACTCCTCACTAACAGACATGAAATGATAGAAGGTGTTGAAGCCATAGGAACCTTGGGAGGAAGTGATCATGCAATATTGGAATTCAACATTATGGAAGCACAAGCAATAGAACACAGTCCAACTAGAGTCTTGGACTTCAAGAGAGCTAATTTCAATAAACTTAGAGAGGGTTTGGGAAGGATTCCATGGATGAGAATCCTCCAAGGGAAAACAACTCAAAAGGCTTGGGAAATTTTGAAAAGTGAGATAGTAACGGCCCAGTCTAGTACAATACCAACAAAGAGGAAAAATAACAGCTCTCAAAAGAAACCAGCATGGCTGCATAAAGAACTCTCTGATCAATTGAAAGATAAAAAGGACAAGTATAGAAAGTGGAAAGAGGGACACATAACTAAGTCAGAATATCAGCAAATAGACCGAGCCTACAAAGACGAAGTGAGGAAAGCTAAGGCTCAAAATGAACTAAGGCTTGCAACCAAAGTCAAAAATAACAACAACAAAAAAAGGTTCTTTCAACATGTAAAAACAAGAAAAGAAGTGAAGGAAACGATTGGTGCATTAGTGGGTGAAAGTGGCAAGAAGGTGACAAGCAACAGGGAGAAAGCAGAACTATTTAACTCATTTTTCGCATCTGTCTTTACACAAAGGGAAAAAACAGACCAGAGGAGAAAGCAGAACTATTTAACTCATTTTTCGCATCTGTCTTTACACAAAGGGAAAAAACAGACCAACCTATCAAAGATAGTGCCATAAAAAACAAAATAGAGATACAAGTTAAGATAGACAAGAAAATGGTAAATGAACACCTGTCCAACCTAGACAAGTTCAAATCACCAGGAACAGATGGATTACACCCCAAGGTTCTTAAGGAACTGGCAGATGTGATCTCAGAACCACTGAACTATATTTTTCAAAGATCCTGGAGCACTGGGGAACTACCAGAGGACTGGAAAAGAGCTGATGTAGTTCCCATCTTCAAAAAAGGAAAGGAAAAAAAAATGGATCCAGGAAATTACAGACATATCAGCCTGACCTCAATATCTGGGAAGATTCTGGAAAAGATAATCAAACAACGAATCAGTGAACACCTACAGGCAAACAAGTCATTACTAAAAGCTAACACAGGTTTGCCAAAAACAGATCATGCCAGACAAATCTTACTGCATTCTTTGACCAAGTGACAAAATTAGTGGATCAGAGGAATGCTGTGGATATAATTTACTTGGACTTCAGTAAGGCATTTGACAAAGTAGACCACAACCTATTACTTGAGAAGATAGAAAAATGTGGGTTAGACAGCATCACCACCAGATGGATCCGTAGCTGGCTGACCGGCTGTATTCAGCATGTGGTCCTCAATAGAACCGCATCTACATGGAGGGAAGTGTGTAGTGGGGTGCCCCAGGCTCTGTTCTGGGCCCAATGCTCTTCAACATCTTCATCAACGATCTGGACGAGGGGATAGATGGGGAACTCATCAAATTTGCAGATGACACCAAGCTAGCAGGAATAGCCAACATCCAGAAGACAGGCTTAAGATACAGAAAGACCTGGACAGACTTGAACACTGGGCGCTATCTAACAAAATGAAACTCACTGGTGAAAAAAGTAAAGGTCTACATTTAGGCAAGAAAAACCAAATGTACAGGTATAGTATAGACTAGAGGGTACCTTGCTCAATAGTAGTAACTGTGAGAGGGATCTTGGAGTCCTAGTGGACAATCACTTAAATATGAGCCAGCAGTGTGCTGCAGCTGCCAAAAAAGCCAACTCAGTGTTGGGCTGCATTAACAGAGAGATAGAATCAAGATCACGTGAAGTATTAATACCACTCTTCAATGCCTTGGTAAGGCCACACTTGGAATACTGCATCCAGTTTTGGTCACCACGATGTAAAAAAGATGTTGAGACTCTAGAAAGAGTACAGAGAAGAGCAACAAAGATGATTAGGGGACTGGAGGCTAAAGCATATAAGGAACGGTTGCTGGAATTGGGTCTGTCTAGTTTAATGAAGAGAAGGACGAGGGGGGACATGATAGCAGTGTTCCAATATCTCAGGGATTGCCACAAAGAAGAAGGAGTCAAGTTATTCTCCAAGGCACCTGAAGGCAGGACAAGGAGCAATGGGTGGAAACTAACCAAAGAGAGAAACAACCTAGAACTAAGGAGAAACTTCCTGACAGTTAGAAAAATTAACCAGTGGAACAACCTGCCTCTAGAAGCGGTAAATGCGCCAACACTGGAGGTTTTTAAGAAGAAACTGGATAGCCATTTGTCTGAAATGGTATAGGGTTTCCTGCCTGAGCAGGGGGTTGGACTAGATGACCTCCAAAGTCCCTTCTAACTTTGTCATCATCATCATCTACTGTGATCTTAATTCTCTAAATATCAATAAAACCAAGGCAAAGTAAACAGGGAGTCCGAGATGTTAGTACCCAAATAGACATGAAGTTCTTGGCAAAAATAGATCTTTAAATTGGTTGGCTAAGAATAAGAATACTTTCAAAACAAAACAAAAAAAATACCTTTAAATGAGTTTGAAGCAATTCCTAAGAACCTATTCTAGAGCAAATTTTGAACTGTTGGATTCCATGGCCAAATATGGGCACTGCTATCATTGGCCATATCATGAGAGGATATGTATGTGCAGGGCCCAAGCTAATAAAAATATTGCTCACATTTTTTTTGATTGTCAACTTGAATATGTTTTGAGTTTAGATATTTGAAATCCTTACTTGAAAGAACAGCCCATTGGGATCTAAATTGCAAATTATGGTATTTCTTCCTGGTCTCTAATGTATGCATTGTTAGCAGAAATGCTAAATTTATAGCCAACGCAATTTAGCTAAGAATTTATTAGTATTATATTTTCTTTTTATCTATTTTATCCTGGAAACAAATCTTGTATTTTACCTTTATTTTCTTTGATAAGACTAATCAATCAATAAACACTGCAAATTCTGCACCTCTAAGTATTTGTTAGCAATTTAAAAACTACTGTTTAAAACTGAAGTTAATTTCACCACTTGCCAAATGTCATTCGGCCACTTATGATTTCTGGTGATTTCTTCATATCACTGAATGCAGCAATGGGAAGTCCCCAGTTGGCAACAGGTCCCCAGAAGTGCTATAATAAAGGCACACAATAAGAAAAGGAATTTTACCTTTTGTCAGTTCAAAAATATTTTAAATCAGATTTAAAAAAAAAACAGAACTAGATAATTGTTGCCTCTGATCAATGCAGTCCCATTTGGAAGCAGGGGATAAGGACACATGTTTAATCTAAAACACATATATAATATCACTGCTACAGCCCTTGCAATTCCAAAGAAACGCACAAGTACCAAACATCCCATAAACCATTATACCAGAAGAGAACTGGAAAGCCTTCATGGCATTACTACCTTCTTCTCCACTGGCTAAGTAGCCAAGAGTAAACATGGTTTGGCTACCATAGCCTCAGTGTCTAGGAGATGTTCTTTGTTGTCAAGTGTTGAAGTTCAATTCTGTAATGGAGACATTTGCTTTCCTATAACTTTTTTTCTAGCTGTTTTTCTTGGAGGACTAGGTATTCAAAATGTTCAACGGAGTATCCTGGAATCTTGGAATAGTGTTATTATGTAAATAAATGGCATAAATACACATGTGCTCCTGTAATATGACTGATTGGCTATAGGTATAACTCTGAATTCCCTTGTTTGATTAGAACTACATTTAACCTCCTGACAGAAAGTGGGTCAATTTAGCATTTGTGTTCTAATATACTAACTTCTCTTGATCCAGGAAAGCAGGTACAAACATGTACAGACTAACCTGAAGGAACTTTACTGAATACATTTTTACAGGTTTATAATCTACATAATAGCAAATTACTTTGTCATCAATTAGACTAATGAGTTAATTATATTCACTATCACTTTTAAATGAGGTACTATGAAAGGAGTAATCATATAGAATTTTCTCTTTTTTTTCCACAAAAAAATGGCTGGGGAAGACTTCTGTCAAAAATTTAAGTTTTATCTGGTCACTTTCTACGATATCTATTAATTGGAAATAATTCTGTTGTACTATAAACGAAAGGAATTTATTCTGGGGAAAGCTACATTTGAACTTAAAGAATACTATGACTGGCACAATTACAGGTGGTTGAAAGGAAGCAAAAATAATACCTTACCGTACTGTTTGATGTGCAGTCATAATGGTTCATCATTTAACAGGAGATGTGAAAGAGAAAAAAAAGGCAATAGCTTCCATGAAATAGAATTCCATATATAAATATTTGTTTTTATTTGTATGTATCTAGACTACTTTATTACTAAAACAATTAAAAGTAGAGTACAATTCATTTAAAACTGTTAACAATGACAAAATTATACCATGTTAACTCTAAAACAAAGGACAACAGTAGATCCGACTGACATCACCAGTTTTAGGCAAATGTCTATATAAACGTAAGAGATTTTTACCATCCAGATCTGTGTACCTCTGATAAATATACTTCTTTAAGGATATTTTCACTAATCTTAATTGGCAGATAAGTACATACGAAAGTGCTGTTATATATCCAGGTCCTAAGCTGTAGGGCCTATATATCAGAGTTATAGTACATAATTGTAACTAAACTGACTTAGTAGGTTGAGTGGATGCTGAAAGAAAAAGCATAGAAATTTTAGATGATACTTCTCTGAACTTATTTTTTAAATTAATTTCTAAATCCACCAATCACATAATACAAATTATGTTCTCTGTATCTCTAGATTACTAAAATAATTTAACTAAAATAAATAAGAGTGAGAACTACAGAAATATTAAATACTTTTAATTTACCAACATTCCATAATGTTGATATAATTTAGAAATATAGTACCAGTATCTGTGCCTTTATTGTCTTTAAAAATGGTTAACACTCACACATATTTGATTTACCAATTAAAAATGATTATTCATCTCTGCTTTTCAATATTATGAATTTTGGGGCCTGGTAGGATGGGGATATTGCATGCATACTATTTATATTGCATGATATAAATATAGTGGGTCCCATAAATGTGTGAAAATCATTAGCCAGGACCTTGAACAAAAGTCCATTAGTTGTGCCCTGAAAAAAAATAAAAGAAAAATTGGGAAAAATGTAACCTGCAAATTGATGACACGGATCATACGATACCAGTGCTGAAAGAATTATATTGGCAAAACAACTTGTACAAGTAATGTTAAAAAAAGTAAATAATCAAAGATTCCCATGTTATGTTTATGCAATAGATGTCTAGTATTAACTGCTAAAAGTGTCCTGTTATGGTTTATATAGGTTTCACTTTTCTACAATACTAATATATGCTCCAAATCGCTTCTAAAGGTTAATGGATTCTTTGCAAAGGCTCTTAATAAGTTCTGAGGATTGCACCTAGATACAAAAGCCATGGAAATTTGGCAGGGCTCCCTTGCTGAAGCTGGAATACTTTCCTACCTATACAAGATACTGTCGGATTCCATCCTTAAACTATTATCAATGTACTAGAATAAAGTGTCACACAGATTTTAACCTTCATATGTAATAAAGTAAATTTGTAACTTGTTTTTTTAATATTTTAAGATGTATCAAAACATAAAACTCTCATATGTAGAACAAAAGTTGAAATAAAAATTCTGTTACATAATACTGGCAGTATTTTAATAACAGAATATTTTTTAAATGGCACTTATGCATAATTATCCACATGGACATCAACATTTTCCTTCAAAATCTTACCTATACATGCTTGAAATATATTTATATCACAGCTAATAGAGCAAAATTTTAATATGGAATTTTTTTAGCTATAATGTATTGCCATTTCAATTACATATATTTCTCTCACAATAAACAAAGCAACATCAATATGCAGCTTTTAAAACTGTAAGTTTATTTTAGTTAAGAACATATGGTGCTCTATGTTAAGTGCCTTTCTTTTTCAAAACAATAATTTAGTGGTCATGCAAGTATTGCAAGGTTTCTTCACTTTAGATTTGCTCAATCTCCTAATGAACATCTCAAAGTCTGAGACAGATCCACCAGGAACATTCTTAGACTGATGCAATACTATTCCTATTTACCTTTGAGAAAGTGCCACTGACCTAAATGTTGTTTAGTTTACACTTATTGCAAAATGTAATTATCAGTTACTTTATTGCACCTGCATATTACACTTGATCTTAGATTGAAAGCTTATCCTAATGCTGTTGCAAGGTTTAATATAACGTATTTGCACTACTGCTCCTTCATTTAATATAACCATCATCTAAGAAAAACTTTGAAAGGAATTTCACATGCTTACTAATTTCATGAAATGGATATTGCTTGTTAATGACTTTTAACAGAAATGTGACAAATTAAAATGGCTTTCCAAAAATCTTAATTCCCCTTCACAATCAAAAAGTGACACCCTCATTATTTGACAGGGATTATATGTCACTGTCATGGCCTATTATTTGAGAGGCACTTGAAAGATTTGGTGTTTGTAAATTAATAATTTGGTATTATTTAGCATTCTGCCTATTTAGAAAGCTTATTTTTAATTCCTGAAATAACATCAAGGGCAAGTTGCACGTTTCCTGTTAGTAATTAACTTATGTTTCTTCAAGTTAGCAATAATTTATATATGACTTTTCAACAAACCCAGTATTAGATAGATGGTTAACTTTCTGTACATAAGCAAAAGTATTCATACAGTGAATCTACTCCACGATAATACCTATAATTCTGAAATAAAAATAATTATATTTTTTCAGTAAGGCATGTTATTTTTGTGGATAAAAATCAATTGGTATGGAAAACAAAAACAGATTTACGTAAATGTCTTATTCTCAAAATAGAAGCTGTCAGGTCCTGAAAAATATATAAATAGTAACAGATGAATAACAACAAATCCCAACATAACACAGTGCAAGTTTATTCAGAAGCATATCCCAGCTTTTAACAAAATATTTAATCCAAACAATTATACAGCCTTAATACAGCATTTAGCAGATGCATCTGGCATCACCTTGCCATCCTTCTATCAAATTACTGAAAAGAGCAGGAGTCTTGTCCTTCAAACAGTTCCTACATTCCCTCAATCTCATCATCAAAACAATTTTCATGTATTACTGGAGAGAGACATTCTTTTCACCTAAACTGTTAGCTTTGCTTTTCTATTTTAGAAATCCCTTGAGAGCATTTCCCAATTGGAAAGCATTAATAAGCACATTTTAAAAAGGACAACCTATGCACCAAGGTGCTGGCTTGTGCTCCTGGCTTTTCATATAAGAGGGCAGGTCAATTATTTCAACGAGAAGGTCTTGCGTGTGCTGAATCCAAATTTTGCTTCCTGAGAATTACAATTATAATAATCCCTTTTGGCTTATCTCACTGTTACCAGCTTGAGCACCCCTAATTCTCTGCAAGAGGAGCTATGTAGCTTGCCATTATTGTTCAGTCATTAAGTCATGTCCGACTCTCTGCGATCCCATGGTCCACAGCACACCAGGCTCCCTTGTCCTCCACTGTCTCCAGGAGTCTGCCCAAAATCACGTTCATCATCATCAAGTTGGAAGGGACCTTGGACACCATCTAACCAATCTCACCCTCTGCCATCCCCTTCTCCTATTGCCTTCCATCTTTCCCAACATCAGGGTCTTTTCCAAAGTCATTGCGAGCACCCAAATACGGGACCCTCAAGCCCTTTCCCCACTTGTGCGTATCTGGGACACAAACATGCCCTCCCGGGATCTTTCTTCTGCTATGTCCTTGCCTTCATTTTCATCCCAGTCCATGCCGGAGACCGATTTCATTTTTTACAGGACTTCTATGGCCGCCTACACAGCCACACAGCGACTCCAGGAGGCTCACACTAGTCTTTTAAGAGGTCATCGGGGTTTCCGGCAGCTTCAAGGCAGGCACGGAATTAACACTTCAATTCAACAGGTATTGGATCGGAAGCCTAGCTCGGGGGGGGGGGGGGCAGCTGACCTTGACCGTTTCAAAACGCCCCGCCAAGGTCGGCTGAAATAAATCCCAGGGCTAGAGCGTTAGATGGTAAAGCCGGGGGAGCGCTGCACCCGAAACACCCCAGAGGGTCTTCCAGCTTCGGGGCACGGACGACAAGGCCCCGCAAAGGAGGCGGAGGAGGAAGCGGTGCAGAGCAGCAAACCGAGCCAAAAGTGAACGAACCGTCATCTCCCTTACCTCATGAGATAATCCCTGAACTCCTTGCTGCGCACATAGTCCGCGGCTTTGCGGGCCAGGGCCGCCGCCATGGCGAACGGCCAGAGAAGGCAGCCGGAGCTCTCACGGGCACCGCAGATGTGGCTCACAATGACAACCTTCTCCGCGGCCGGGACCGAGCCTCCTTTTCACGACCGGGCCGGGCCCTGCCTTACGATAGCGCCCGCGTTTCCATAGCAACCCCATCGTTGCTAGGCGCCGGTTCTTCCTTCTCCCTCCCCCCCCTTCAATTGACTTGTTCAAGGGCCGGGAAGGAAAGAGGCTTGCCGTAAAGCACGGACCACGCCGGTTCTTAAGCCGCGTTTCTGTTGGTTGCAGGCAGGGATCGGATGGGTTCTTATTGGTCGGTTGCGATAGCCTGACGTATCGCTACATGAGGGACTCTCCGTCGCCTTCAGTTTGCCGGTCAAGGGCAACATGAGTGGTTAGGAACGGGAGGCGGAGCTAAGCCCGTTTCTTCCTCGGCCATTGGTGGCTGAGTTCCGGGGTGCCAGTAGTGGAACGCAGCGCTTTCTTCATTCAGGTTTCGCTATGAAATAATTAAACTCCGTGTTATGTTTGGTGCACGACGAGGCAGCAGGTGAACAATCAACTCTTTATTGCAGATTTAAACAGAAGCCTGGTTAACTACCGCTCCAGCTTTATTTATACATTCAGCAATAGGCGGCAGCCAATAGAATTCAAGTATCTTTGCTGCTTAAACATATTATAATGAATCTTGCAGACAGCAAGTCTGGCACTTACTGACAGTTTTTTCAACAATTCCAAGTAATTACACTCCAATTCTTCAAATGGAGCTTTCGGCGTCGTGTTGTATTTTGAGAAGCGTGGTTCACCTTCTGCAGTGCTCTTGGATGACACCGAACACTTGCTGGTCAAACCCGGAGTCCTTTTTACTTAGTTTGCTTTAGCCTTTCTTCCTAGGAAAACTACTTCAAACTTAAGACCATCTGAGTTGCCGTTTCTTCATCTTTTGAAAGATTATATTTTCCACGTGACCAAAACTAAAGATATCATTTCAAAAGCAGAGGCATCATACAGTAATTCTTACAGTAACTATTTGATATTCCGTTTGTTTCCTAAAAAAATCCAGTACGGAATTTGCTCCCCCCCCCGTCGTTTTACATTGCTGTCTATTATAATCCCAAGAATAGGTCTTTCTATATATTAGAAGTTAAAATACTGAATTGCAAATGTATTGCTCAAAACTACAGCTCTAAGCTGAGAAAGGGGCTCCTACTAAAATAATACCTCTGTGTCCCAATTCTGGTGGTCTTTAAATGTTTTCTGCTTGAGAACATAGTTTTTGAGAAGCTACTATTAGGTTCAGACAAAATTGGAACAGGAAGATAATCATTTTCTACATTGCACCAGATTTTTGGCATGGGGACTTTAGAAAAGTATTTGTCTCCCATCTCCTGGTAGCTCTTAAAGCTTTCGTTTGTAATCTTGGTCTTCACCATATGCCATAGTGCCCGTCATGAAGCTCTTAATTCTTAGAACTTCACTAGCATGACCAAAATGATGCTCAAAATGAAATTTTTCACTGAAGTTGGGGAAGCCTTTTTAAAATGAAAAATATTTGAAGAAAGTTTTAAATTCAGAAATGAACAGCTTCTCTTGTTTCTGGTTACTTAAGCATTTCCGCAAACAGTAAACCAATTGCAGAGAGGTTTAGGCTACAGAGTTGATTGCTTTGTCTGCAGCTTACACCATTATCATCAATACAATTAAATACTTTATCCAAGATCTTTCACTGGTGTAACTGTCATGACTGAATCATATAGCTTCTCAGTTATTGAAAAATTCATACAGAATTGCTCATTTCTGATTCTCTGCTTTCTTTTTGAATTATATGGGAAATTAAGTGCCTGTGGTTTTTCTATTTCTAGGTAGATAAAAGTGTTCTGTTGGTTTCATACATTTAATAGGGTGATTGAAAGACTTTTGAAAGCTTTCCATTTCATAAATGTAAGAAGGCTATCTTGAATAGATTATTTCTAATCCAGATAAGACTGGGTTTGTTTTTTTCTACATGACTCTTAGTCTCCTAGGTAGTCTGCAAACAAATGGGATAACAACTCTTATCTTTGCTTAGAAGGATAGATAATGAAACTGTTTATTACTCTTTTCACTCTGGAGATTACTTTCCTTCTCTGCTAGTTTAAACTTGGCTCATACCAATCCTTGAGAAGAATTGTAAGAAATGTCTGCCTACTATTAATAGTTTTTTTTTAACGAGAGCTCATAATAGCAGACTAGTTCTCTTATCTATTGGGCCTCATTCATGCCCCACAATAATTATACAAATAGGATATTTGATATAGTTTGCCCTTGAACAGAATTTTGGTTCAGTTCCTTTGACTCAGCACACTAAAAAGCCAATCTAAATCAATATGTAACAAAAAATTAAACTGTAACTAGCTTGGGAAATCAGTCTGAAAACTGTAAACACTTTCTAAAATAACTGGGATCAAAGGGAAAGTGATGGTTGTTCACTATCAAGTCAGAACTAATATCAAATCTTTCTGTTATTATTAAATTATATTTATGCATATACATCTGTTATGCACATCTTTAAGAACAATATCATCCACAAACATGTAGAAAGTGTTCATCAACACCCTAACCTGATGTTTTGGCTTCATTTATTTATTCAGCTTATGTTTAACCTTTCTATCTGCAGTATTTTGATAAAATGGTTAACAGCAAGTAAAATACAAAAAGAAATGTTAACATTATTAACAATTGCATTATTGTTTGAAATGCTTGATATGGTGGCAAATTTTCAGCAACCGGGAACCACACTTTTAAGGATATAATTTTCCTGGCAGAGAACTGCATTGAATGAGATTGTTATACTCTATAATCACATCAGTAGTAAATGCAAGATTTGCAAAGTTTTAACACAACCATGGGGGGGGGGCTACAGTCTCAACTGGGTAAGGGCACTCTAAATACTTCCCTTTTATGCTTTACTCACTGGACATATACTCTCTCTGTATCATAGCAGTTGTTTATTGGTTGGATGTGTCTTAAACTCTGCAGAAATTAGTTCAAATAGCAGCAGATAACAATGAAATGGAAAGAAATAAGGAACTCTTTTCCTTGTTCACTACACCTATAAAAGCCTGGGCTTTCAAATGAACAGGAAGAAATGCCTGAAGCTGAGTCCCGGATCCAGCCACAAGTGGAGACAGGTTATTACTTAATGTTAAGATAGACAGGATATACCGTCAAAGCAAGTTTTTCTGGCTGAGCAATATTATTGCAATAGCATACTGCTGCTGAAAGGCAATACAATTAAGCTCTATAGTTTCAGTGTAAAATATGTAAGAATGAGACCATCCTGCTCTGTTGAAATCATTGACACTGGTGATTTGAATGGAATTTGGACTGTGACTTTGAGATGTAAACTTTTACCTAATGTGCTCATCAATACAGAACATTTCGGTTGATGTGACAGGCTGGGATCATTACTTCCAAGTCCTAATGTGACTGATTTTGGCTTAGCCTGTTTGGTGACCTTAGACATAGTAGTTTATAAATTATGCTTTCTAGTTTAGTATTAGCTATGAACCCAGGCACTACAGTTTGATCAACACACAGCGGCAAACAAGTCATCACTTAGCACATGGGAAACTCAGCTATGAGCACATGTGATTTGCCATTGTAAGAGCTGTTTTATATATATAAAGATGTCCCTTTTTATTCTGGATTTATTCACAGAATATAGAATAACTTTTCCTAGCCTACAAGTAATCATTGATTTACATCCATTCATTTAATAAAAGTTCAAAATTACAACAGTGCTAAAAGAAGTGATTTATGACCTGTCCTGAAAAAAGGTGATTTATGATCCATCTTTGAAGTTACAACTGTTACACCACTCCTGCAGTCACATAACCACAATTCAGGCACTTGGCAACTGGCTTGCATTTACGACAGTTGCAGTGTCTTGTGGTCACGGTGATCTCTTCAAAAGTAATAGCTCCCAGTGATCACTTCTTTTTAGTGCTGTCAATTATAAAATGCTCAATTATAGTTCATCAAAAGATTGTCAACCTCTATTACAGCCTGTCCATATATTTGAGCGCTGTTTTTTTCAGTTTGAAGTCCCACAAATTCACCATTTACTTATGTATGAGACTTAGCTTCTTCAAAGCTGGTTTTCAAAGAGATTGTGTGCCATCAGGTCATTGTTGACTCTGTGATGACAGATGGATTGTTTCGATGATCCAAAGAGATACACAACATTCCAAGTTTGTTGTGGTAATTTGGAATTAACACCACAGTATTTACTAGTTGCCCTAACATGATGTTGGTCCTTTGTATTTTCACTTTCTTGCAAATTTATCTGTAGATATTTTAGCTAGGACGGTTATCCGTTTCAGTGGCATGTATTTTTATATTTTCAGAATTTTTTTTTAAACCAGAACTACATATCTTGACATAACTCTTCAAATATAAGCCAGTTATCAAAAACCAGTGGACAATGTTCTTTTCTTATTCAATAGTTAGTCTCAGTACTTTCATCAAAATGATGAAAACATAATTGTCACACTACAATGCATGTTTCCTCCCTTTATAGATGAGAGTGATGTCATGCATATAAAATTTATGTTGCTGCATTGCTGCTTTTATCATTTCTCTCCCATGGATGTCCTGAAGAGTGACAGAATGTGCATGGCGACATTTACATCCCCCTTATATACTTGTGTGCAATATTGCAATGCAAGTGTCAAAAAAAAACAGACCATGACATCACAACAAGTTTCATCCTTTTGGCGCCATCATAATAGGAAAGGATGCCTATGAGCACAGGTGCTTTACCAAGAAAATGCTTCCCCTGCCCCAGTCCCCGTGGGTCAAGTGCTACAACAGATACAATTTACTATTCACAGTGGCACATAATTTATCCTAATGTGCATTGTGAAACATCTTTTATGAATGCTTTGCATATCCTTATGATATATCCTGTGGGAATAATATACACATGTACAAATTCCACAAAAAGGTGGCATGCTTCCTGACTAATTTCTAAATATATGTGTCCTGAATCATATCATTTGTATTCCAACGGATTTCATATATATCAAAGAGGATACTCCTTGCAGCATCAATGACTAAAAATGGCAGTCAACCTTGATTTGAATAATGTGCCTTTCTGTTTGTCAGCAGGTATCTAAAGCAGACAAATCCATTTTTGCTACTTATAAAACTGTGCTAAATTGAGGTGGATTCTGCTATGGGTTCTGAAAGGTGAGAAAGCCTCAAACATTCCATTCTGTTGCCAAGAGATAAGCAGGACCCACACATTCAGAATTTCTAATAAAATATTCTGGTATTTTTTCTATATTTAAGACATCTCACTCACGTTATGGTGTTTCCCAGCACTATTTTATTTGAAAAGTCAAACTCGAAGAACAGCTGCTCTGCTGCAGTCAGGTGTGCACAGCACATCAAAATGTACATTAAATATAATTTAAAAAATTAAGGGCAAAATAAAATAAATATAACATTTTGTTGAACACAGAAACAAACATCAAGAAGCCCACTACAGTAGCTAATGCAGTTTCTTGCTCTCTTTTGTGGATGCAGGCTCAATTAATACAAATCTCTCAAACTGTGCTTAGCACCAAAAACGGTGTTACTTCTGAACAATAACAAAAAATCTGTAGGATGCAATACCCTGACTTCACAGTTTCTCCCCAAGAATAGATGAAAAATGACACAGTTTCTCCTGCACACTTTCAGCGGGTGGAAAAATCCATTCTGAAAATAAAAGGCAAGTAAAGTGCTTATATAATCCGTAGAATACAGCTCAGAACTGACACACATTCCAAAGGCTTAGGGTGCAATCCTATACTAACATACTTGAGAAAAGTCAGATTATGAAACTTACTTCTGCATGAAGAAGTATAGGATTGTACTATTGAGCATGCTTAAATCTGTACTTGGTTACAGCCAGTGGAGGCAATCTGAGTTAACGATGGTTATGAAGCATCCGTGACACATACAATGTACCATTTTTTTTTCAATCATCTTTCAAGACTTTTAAGGAAATCAAATACATGCTTGCTCCCTTTGATATAAGAAATAATACAAACTTTGCTTGCTGAAGCTCTTCTGGATTTTTTTTTCCCTTGGGCAGTAGATGGTTTTATCTTAGCCTGTCACAATAAGCTATTATTTTAACATTAAACCAGTAAACAAAAGATCACTATCTCAAGTTGATATAATAGGAAACTCTGTAACAGCTTATGAAGCACAGTGCTTGTATTCATTCATGTAGTTACGAATGCATCAGCGGAAGAAAAGGACTGAAGTCTTATCTTCTGGTTCCATCTCTAACTTCCAGATGAGTCTATATGTATAGTGCAGTGGTTCTCAACCTGTGGGTCGGGACCCCATTTGGGGTCGAACGACCATTTCACGGGGGTCGCCAAACAACGCAGTCCACCATTTTTCCTCCCTTTTCCTTAGCTGTGCTACTCCCTTTTATTCTACTGGCTTTTGAAAGCCAATAGAATAGACTCTCTTGAACAGAGTCTAATTCTATTGGCTTTCAAAAGCCAATAAGAATTGTCCAGGCTGTCTCTGCCCTGCTGAGCCTGCCAAAAGTCCCATTCTGCAAATGGTGCTGCAAATTGTCTGCAGCGAAGGCGAGCTGTCTGGAAGTTTCCACCCCACCCTGCTGAGCAACTACTAAAAATGTAAGTAAAAGAGGGCCAGGGGTGGGAGGCCGACGGGTGCAGGGAGGGTTGCTGGCGCGCGTGGGGCCCAGCGGGTGCTTTACCTCCCTTGGGCTGGGCCAGCTGGTGGTCGGCCTGCGCCGTCTCTGCCACTTGCCAGCTACGCCTCGGCCGGTGCAGGGGCGGCACCACGCATGTGCAGCGCTCCCAGGCAAGGAAAGTCCTTGACTTATGACCGTTTGGGTAGTCCTCAACCTACGACCGGTTGGGGGTCACGGCATTAAAAAGGTTGAGAACCACTGGTATAGTGTTTAGGTGCAACCAGCGACGCAGTCACCTTCCATAAAAAAATCTTTTTGTCCAAGATAAGATTGTACATTTTTGATCAAGAAAGGAGGCCTTATCAGATAGGACCCTTCAAGGTGGTTGTGTCAATGAGCACAACTCTAATCTCCTTTCTATACTTTCATCTGGTCCAAACTCATTACAATAATTATCTTCCTTTAATAGCGCAGGTATGTTTCCAGCTCTTTCCCACCCTTTTCACTCCTCACAGGACATGGTTTTTATGGTCTCGCACATCATTAATGTATTCAACGTTTTGGAGACAAACCTTAGTACAGCTAATGATAGTGGTGACAATACATCAGACATAAGATGCTGGTAGAGCTAAAATCGAATCTGTTACAAAAGTGGTCTTACAGAGCATCTATAATTCCAAAAATAGCATTTGGATTAAAGGAGGAGAGAACACAATGTCAGCAACTGATACAGTACCTAAATAAGAAGCAATACAGCAATTGAAAAAAATGGCACATTTCTGAGTATTTACTATCTTGTTGGTAATGTAAAAAACAGAACCCAAAAATATCTGAAAGCAAAGAACAACTTTGCCTTAAACTGAAGTTTTGCTGATTAAAACAATGTATGTGCCAGGAGTCCTGCAACATTAACAATATAGATCAGCCTCTCTGATCAAGTGTTTCTCTTTATTTAAACAGGCCTTTTTGGGACCATTATAACCTCGTTGAGGTCAATCTTTTCATTCCCCTTCGCTGGGCCAGGTTGGAGGACAATACCGGTTCCAGCCTTGGTGCTTGAGGCGTTTGGTTTAAAGCAAAATAGGTGGCTGCCATGGCACCCTGTGAAATTAAAAAAGAGGGAGATTATGTAGTATTTCAGAAAAATCACTTTTTTCCTCTTCCTAAGAAAAGGCATGGCTGCTTTAAAGAGATGCAGATGTGCTACATTCATGCTCCTGCAACCCAAAGCATCTTTTCAAAACTGAATTTGATAATACGGCTCAAAACTAATATATTGGAATAGGGTTGGCCAGCAAATTACATTTTCCCCTTCCAATCTTACCCAAAAAAATGTAGTTTTATATATGTTGCACATAGGTATCTTTTGTCAAGCCACCCACTTTAAAGATAGCATGTAAGGAAAGAGGTAAAGGAACTGCAAGCAAGAAATGCATCAATTTATGTCAGAGGATGCAATATAGCTTGCCAGTAGCTTTACTGGTTACCGCTATTATGATGCATCAGGTTCAAAAAGATAAAGGTTTCCCTTGTCCAGTCATGTTTGACCCTAGGGACGGTGCTTATCTCCGTTTCATAGCTGAGGGAGCCAGTGTTGTCAGAAGAGGCTTACATGATCATGTGGCCAACATGATTATACATTGAGACACATGGAATGCTGTTACCTTCCCACTGAAATGGTACCTATTTATCTATTTGCATTTTGCATGATTTCGAACTGCCAGGCTGGCAACAGCTGGGGCAGGATTGGGAGCTGACCCCGTCATGTTATGCTTCTGTTCTCAAACTGCCAAACTTCCGATCGACATGCCCAACATCTTAACAGCTAGGCCACTGTACACTCCTTTATTCTTAATGACAGATAATTCATGACAGAGATCTGCAACTTTTTAGAATCTGAACATTACTACATGATTACTATGACCTGGTTCCTCCTCAAAAAAAATGATTTTTGAGGTCAGCAGATTGTGGGAGTTCACTTCAACTTTACACTAAGACCATCTTGACAGATATTGATTGGCATTTTCTCACAAGATTGCATGAATGTAGCAGGTGACCTTGTAAGAATTAGATTATTTAAAAAAAAAAAAATAATTTCGAGATCTTTGAGGGGAGGAGGGAATTAAAAATTCTAGTCCACAATGAAATAATGTGGCTGGTTCTGTATGTAAAATCAGGTTAATTATTTTAGTATCTTATGAGACCACCACCAGGTTTTCTACGTCTAAGAAGTGGCTGCATTTAGACATACCTTTACAAGATGAACATCTTGTCTGCTGAGTTGATTCTGGGAGAGATACTCCCTGTTTACTATCCATGGATGCCTTAAAACCTGGGCTGCTGTTAAGCGCTGATGGGGATCTACATGAAGCATTTTTGACACAATATCCTGCAAAAAATGATATAGCGAAGATTACATTAATGTTATTTTACTAAGAATAATAACCATTCTGGATAATTATGATTATGATTTCTGGTATAAAAGAATGGAAAATGGCTTAAGAAGTCAGCCTATAACAATTGGTCTACATCCTTTCAAGGTAATGAAATTCTTCTGATGTTGGGAGGAAAGAGAGAAGCAAACGCTTCAGGATCTCAAGGACAAAATGTTCCTATCAGAATATTATATTAAAACTGTATTCATAAGAAAAGAAACCTTAATTCTGATTTCTTGGACAATGGAACTAAAGAGTATTCATGGGGCTTAGGTTGCAATTATTGTTCTGACTTGGGTTTTGCCATGCCTACAAAAGAATTGTTTTAACCTCTCAATGTATTTTCAGCTACTTTAATAATAAATAGGATATATTTATTAAGATGAGATAGGAAGCCAGTATGGTGTAGTGCTAAATGCACTAGGCTGGAAATTAAGAAATTATGAGTTTAATTCTGCCTTACGTATAAAGCAGCTGGGTGACTTTGGGCCAGTCACTCTTTCTTAGCACTAAGAAAGAGAGAATGACAAACCATGTCTGAAGTTTTGTGGAGCTAATTGCAGTGAGTAGTGCAGACAATCACCAGGAATCAACAAGGAAGGAAGGAAGGAAGGAAGGAAGGAAGGAAGGAAGGAAGGAAGGAAGGAAGGAAGGAAGGAAGGAAGGGAAGGAAGGTTTGAAGAATTAAATTTATTTGTGATATGTATCGCATTTGTCCCTGCCCATCCATAACTCTAATTTGAATTGAAATATATATAAGTACAGTAGCCCTCATTTAGCTACTGCCTTGGACAGATATTGTTTAAAGTTACAACAGTGATGAAAGAATAATTTTGTGATTTATGCCTGCATTTATGACCTGATTTTTTTCTGTCACGTTTTGGCCATTGCAGTTAGTATGCATTGTCCTGTGTTTGACCTGTCCCCACCTCCTCACATACAGTGGAGATATTGCTCAAATAAGCTATAGTATCTCTTCCTAAGCTGCTTTTCTCCATGGTGCAATATGCCCCTTAAAAATGCTAACTACAAGTTAGATAACAAGCTTAACTCTATGATCTTAATTGATTAGACTCCTCCAGCCCATTGGTGCTGCTGACTGACAGACAAGGCCCTAATCAATTTCACAGTGAGGATTTTTGTCTTCAAAGCAACTGCAATAAAGAGTATGCTAGGAAAGCAGTTAACACTAGCTCATTGCTTTTGATGTGTACTCCCCATTGTTTGCCTGCTTATTCTCTTGTAATCCCTTTCTCTACAATGACTGTATTAATTCTCTTCTTGCTAATTATCCTAGCCCTGGGGTCAGCATTCCAAAGGGTGTGTAAATTGAGGAAAAAGGACTATAAGATTCACCCTTTTACCCAGCTTCCTCATAAGTCAAATTCCAGAAATCTCCCCAACTGTTTGAGCTTACTCTATTTGGAGTCATATCCTACTAATTTTGTAAAGCAAAAAAATAAAAATAAAAAAATTGTAAGGACAATTGTGATCATGTGATTTTTCACTTAGTGATCACTTCGCTTAATGACCATGTTGGTGGTTCCAACTATGGTAATTAAATGAGGACTAAGTGTACTGCTAGTCGTAATGTCTCTCTAAAAGTGTATTTTCAAATTACTTTAACACTAAGGGTAAAGAGTCAGGAACTGTGTTAAAGTAGTCACGATTGTGGTAACTGCTGGATCACTAACCAGAGGTGGCAATCCTATATTCATTAATGTGAGAACAAGTCTTATTGAATTCATTTACAATTACTTTGAATGTACTATATAAGACTTGTAAATTTTGATGTATACAGTACATTTATTTGGAACATGCAAATTCAAAGAATTTGTGTCAAAATCTGAAATTATCGAATTCCTCAAATATTGAAAACATAGGATAACGAACTTCATGTAGATTCACAACAGTATCTGACCATTCATTGCTGAAAACAAACTGCTTGATAAATTAGACTTTGACCTGATTCAGTGTTTACTTTTACCAAAGTGGAAGAAAAGAAAATAGATTGAACCAGATCATTCTGCTTTTTTCTTTGTCTATACTAATTCTGAACTACACTGAAGTTTAAAAACCTAGAAAACTGTAAGATACTGAAATGAAGCTAAACATAGTCAAGTCATTCATTTGTCTGAGATGGAACAGGTTCTCCTGCTTAAGCCGGGGGGGGGGAAGGGGGGCTGGACTAGAAGACCTCCAAGGTCCCTTCCAGCTCTATTCTATTATTTAGTTCTAATTTAAAGAAAACCTAAGCCATATATTGCTGCCCTGCTGTGATTGTTTCCAGCCTATTGTAATAATGCTACAAAACATGGCATCTGTGCAATACATGACATCAAGCAGGCATTTTAGATATAATGCACATCAATATTAGGATTAATCTTTAATCATTTCAGTTAATTGCTCTACTTTTATGGATAATCAGAAAAATTGCAAACATGACAGTCCTTACTGAGGCATTCCCACTTACAAGATGTAATTGTGCATATTCATATAGTTGCCATTGGAGTTTTTAAGAAACTGTTGCATTTATTGTTCATTTTATATGCGTTCGTTTTAAATAAATGGAGGGTAATCATGAGCAGCACAAGCAAAATAAATGGATAACAACCACAAGCAACGTATTATGAAGCATTATTTTACCTTTGCAGCATCAGATATGGAATCCCAGTTCCCTCCTGCTAGAGCATACTTTCCGCTGCCAATTCTAGCCAGAATTTCCTCTGGGGTGTCATCTGGTCCATTTGCAAAAGGGGTGAATCTGTTAAGCAACAAATAATATGTGAAACAGATGTAGCAGCATGATCAAAGCATAATACTTCTGACTTGCATACAAAAAACCTTCCTCAATGTTGTGCTCTTTATATGTGTAGAGCCCCAATTCCTAATCTCTCAGCTGGCCAGCACCTTCTTTGGAGTAGCACCCTTTGAAGAAAAAACAGCACAGCCTCTACTAGTCTTGTAGCTCTGTCAGAATCTAGCATGCTTCTTTTTTGGAATCCTTTTAAACCAGGGATCTTTAAACTTGGCCCTTTTATGACTTGTGGACTTCAACTCCGAGAATTCCTCAGTCAGCGTGCCTGGCTGAGGAATTCTGGGAATTGAAGTCCACAAGTCATAAAAGGGCCAGGTTTGAAGACCCCTGAAAATTTCTAATCAGGTTTTTAAATCTTCCATACTATAGCATCACAAAAATAAGCATATTTTGTCTGTAAGGAAAATCAGTCCTAGATTTTAGCTTCTTAAAAAACATTACGATATGTTTTATGATAGAAATATGTCTAAAAGCCAAAACTTGAAGTTCTAAAAAAAAAACATGAGCAGGATTGGATAATATTCCTATAATATGACCTTTTTTTTTCTTTTGTGACACAAAGCAACACTTAAAGAGCATTATAAATCTTTCCATTATGAAAGGTTTTATAATACTAATATATCACAATTCGATAGTCATCAAACAAAGTATACATTTTCTCTATAAAATCTACATATTTTGATAAATATATTTACTTTCTTTAATTTCAAAACACAGCCATTTCAGAATGGACATCAACTGGAATAAACAACTGCAAATAATATGCCTTAACTTGCCTGTAACGAACCTGACAATTTCAGTCATATGAATCTTTAGCACTCAGCTAAATAATTCAAGCAGTATTTACTATAAATGTCTAGATCAGGGGTCTTCAGACTTGGCCCTTTTATGACTTGTGGACTTCAACTCCTAGAATTCCTCAGCCAGACATGCTGGCTGAGGAATTCAGGGAGTTGAAGTCCACAACTCATAAAAGGGCCAAGTTTGAAGACCCCTGGTTTAGATTGTGTTTCTGTCTTTATGTTGCTATTGTTTTTTTTTTTTTTACTGATCTCCAAGAATGACCAGGCTACAGATACTAAAAACTGTTTGCACTTACCCTGCTAACATGGTATACAACAAAATCCCCAAACTCCAGATATCACAGGCTGCATCATAACCCTGCCGTTTCAGGACCTGCAAAAAGGAAATGTAAGTATATTATATTTTGTTGCTTTAGAGAGTTGCTGAAGAATTAACTGTTGCTTGTTTCACATTTAGGCATGTAATAATAATAATAATAATAATAATAATAATAATAATAAAAAGTTGGAAGGGACCTTGGAGGTCATCTAGTCCAACCCCCTGCTCAGGCAGGAAACCCTATACCATTTCAGACAAATGGCTGTCCAGTCTCTTCTTAAAAACTTCCAGTGTTGGAGCATTCAACACTTCTGGAGGCAGGTTGTTCCACTGGTTAATTGTTCTAACTGTCAGGAAGTTTCTCCTTAGTTCTAGGTTGCTTCTCTCCTTGCTTAGTTTCCACCCGTTGCTTCTTGTCTTGCCTTCAGGCGCCTTGGAAAATAGCTTGACTCCCTCTTCTTTGTGGCAGCCCCTGAGCTATTGGAATACTGCTATCATGTCTCCCCTCGTCCTTCTCTTCATTAAACTAGACATACCCAATTCCAGCAGCCTTTCCTTATATGCTTTAGCCTCCAGTACCCTAATCATCTTTGTTGCTCTTCTTTGTACTCTTTCTAGAGTCTCAACATCTTTTTTACACAAAACTGGATGCAGTATTCCAAGTGTGGCCTTACCAAGGCACTGTAAAGTGGTATTAATACTTCACGTGATCTTGATTCTATCCCTCTGTTAATGCAGCCCAGCACTGTGTTGGCCTTTTTGGCAGCTGCAACACACTGCTGGCTCATATTTAAGTGATTGTCCATTAGGACTCTGAGGTCCCTCTCACAGTTACTATTATTGAGCAAGATACCCCCTATACTATACCTGTACATTTGGTTTTTCTTGCCTAAATGTAGACCCTTACTTTTTTCACCATTGAATTTCATTTTGTTAGATAGCGCCCAGTATTCAAGTCTGTCCAGATCCTCCTTTATCCTAAGCCTGTCTTCTGGAGTGTTGGCTATTCCTGCCAGCTTGATGTTGTCTGCAAATTTGATGAGTTCCCCATCTATCCCTTCGTCCAGATCGTTGATGAAGATGTTGAAGAGCACTGGGCCCAGAACAGAGCCCTGGGCACCCCACTACACACTTCCCTCCATGTAGATGCGGTTCCATTGAGGACCACACGCTGAGTACAGCTGATTAGCCAGCTATGGATCCATCTGGTGGTGATGCTGTCTAACCCACATTTTTCTATCTTATCAAGTAGTAGGTTGTGATCTACTTTATCAAATGCCTTACTGAAGTCCAACTAAATTATATCCACAGCATTCCTCTGATCCACTAATTTTGTCACTTGGTCAAAGAATGCAATAAGATTTGTCTGGCATGATCTGTTTTTGTTCCCTCATGCCAATAAATCCTGGGTCCAATTCAAAGTTGTGGTTTTAAACTTTGAAGCTATTCCTGACTTGGTTCTCGGGTGCTTTAGGGACCATCTCCTCCAAGTGGAATTTGCATAGTCCCTGTGAGAATGCAGAAGGAGGCTCATCCCTACAAAACATTGGGGGGACATGGACTCAAAGGCACTCCTTCTCTAAAATGCTTAGGAGCAATTCGCCATTGGAGTTCACCTTGTATATTGACTATTAGCTTAATGCAAAGTGGCAAAACTGATTTGCTTCAGTGGAGATTTGGGACTTATACTAGATAATTATGACTGACTGTGTCGGTGACTGTATTAACTGTAATGTTTTTATTCTCCCTTATGTTTTATGTCAAAAGCCAGAAGTCATCTGGAGTTAGGCAATGTAATAATGTAAGTAAGCAAACAAAAGGATCAAAGCATATTTCACTGATTGACTTTCACTCAGTTTGCCCAGTATATTTCATTAAAGTATTCTGCTAAGCATTTGTTTGTGTGTGTGTGTGTGTGTTTTAAACCTGAAACTGGGAAAAACACCTCCCATTTTTGTCTTTTACAACCTATGTGTGGAAGAAGTACTATTACACTGAATACATTCTTATTTCTTAATTTAGGGTGTGTCTGGCAACTTCCCTGATTACTTTCTTATTTTAACTCAAATGGCAGGCTGCCCATCTTGCCATTCTCTTCAGAGTAAATAACATAATGCAGAGTGCAAAAAGAAGAAATAGTAAAAGAAATTAAAGGTAAATTTAGTTTACACTGTATGTCTCTGTACCTTCCTATTCTAATAAATCATTTGTGCCTTCCTTACATCCATCACCTTTTGTTCTTTAAATATCTCATTTATCTCTTTTTGAGAATCTTATTATTGGAGATTTTCAAAAATAGACTGGGATGATATAAGGCTCCTGTCTTGAGCAGGGGGTTGAACTAGAAGACCTCTGACATCTCTTCCAGCCTTATAATTCTATCCAAGCACAACATTCACAATCTTCCCTTTCCTCTTGACCCATTCACTCTTCCTTCATATAATTATTCTGCAATTAGACCCTCATTCTTTTTCTCTCTCTAATCAAACCAATTCAATAAACTTCTTTCATTTTTGGATTCCATATACATTTGTTTGGTGTTCATTTATTCCTGCCCCTATCACTTCTTGTTTTACTACAAATAGTTTTTTTAAAATTAATCTGTTCCTACAGTATCCAGTTTACTTTAATGCTTCTGACATACCAAAGTCTCACTTCTGAATCACCATAGGGTAAAAATGTTCTTATATACAGCCATTTTTGCTGCTTTCAACTTCATTCTCCAGAGCACATACAACCAAGAGCTATCTACTTTACATATCTTAAAATTCCTCCATTAAAATCAAAATTCCTCCCTAAATCAAAAACTTGTTCAATATACTTTTTTTTTCCTTGCACTCACATATTTTTCAAAGATTATCTGAAGAAGAAAAGTCAGGTCTGACATTCCCTGCCTGGCATAAAACTGAACTGCACTTCTCAGATTTTGCTCAAAGTTACAACAGATCTTCTTTGGTACATACAACCTGGTTCTGAAGTTCTGATGGCTTATAACCCCCACCCCCCACCCTTAGTCCCACAACTTTTAGCCTTTTGATCAGCAATCCATTTACACTTTTGGGAAGTGCTACAGGTATGCAAAATCCCACATGCTACTCCTTAGAATTAGCATGTGGGATAGGAATACTCAATTATTTTTTTTATAAATGATTAAGACAATAACAAGATTTGGGCTTTTATGAAGATTGATATGAATGTTCCTATCTTAGTTTTAATCTAGTACCTTTCAGAGCTATTTAATGAGATTTTGTAAATAAAATATAGATTCATGAATGTGCCCCTGAAGAGAATAAATGATTTTCACCTAGACCTCAGCAACAACTGGAGCAAATAAAAGCTATTATGTGATTAAATTTACCTGCTGACAATGATCAGAGCTTATGAAATATGAGGCTATTTTTTTTGTCTGCCAAAATGCTTCCACTAGATGGCAGGTCAGTTCTTCTCTAGATATTTTTAACCATTCATAATGTTCTGTGCTACTAAATATATAACTGATATATCTACCATTCAATATAATTAACGGTTCAAAAGTAAAAATTGGTATGGAAACAAGCATGCAGTTTCAACTGCTTTTTAAATAACTTGTACAATTGAGAAAGTATTTAATATGGCAAAAACAGATGTTGAATTTTGGACTGAAAAAAATTGGAGATCAAGTGAAATAGCATTAACAGCAAATGACGTTCCTGCAAAGTTTATGTTTTCAAAGGAAAGAGAAAGGAAGCAGTTTGCCTGAAAACTGCCTTCTCCCCTGAAATTTCATTCAGTTGGTTTATCTATGAACATTTATACTGGATTATGAAGATATGTTTACTAGGTACAATCGGAATACAGTTAGTCCTCAACTTAAAACCATTACTTAGCAATTATTCCAAGTTACAGTGGACTTTCTTTGGTACTTATGACTTGGTTTTGAAATTCTAATGTCTGACATCTCCCCCCTCCAGTCACATAACTGCACACTTATTTGCAATTATCCGTTTGCTGCATCCTGCAATCACAAAACCACATTTTACGAGTTTTGCTGAAAATCAGCAGTTACTTCTGTTTTTCAGCAAAACCAGCCCACAGCAAACCATTGGTTCTTTTAACAACTGCTGCAAAAAAAGTTGTAAAAATCAGATCAGTCGTGTGGATGACCCAATTTACAATTAGTATGACTTATGACCAAGGTGAGCAGGTTCATTAAAGTCATAACTTGAGGACTATCTGTATCATATACCAGTCCCATGACACTGAATATATATATATATATATATATATATATATCTCCAAATGTCGCCATCTAATTCAAAAATAAAATCATAAAGATAACATACAGTAGCCCTAAAGAATGGTATGAACTGTTAACACCAAATTCCACAGAGGTCCATTTAGGATTAGCAAAGAAATAATCACCTCTAGGTGAAAATAGTCCACTTGGAATATTAATGTCTTCAGTATTCTAAATACATTCTGAAGACAGTCAGAAAAAAACTAATAATAAATATGCAATTCAAGAACATCTAGAACTACTCTGCTGGTTCCCCTTCAACAACATTCTGAAAATGAAAAGGTTATATGCAAATCTCATTCTGAAAAGTAATCTGAGCTTTGTTACAATAATTTGCATGAGGGTGATCTCCAGTTCTTTAATAAGAAATTGCTGTTTCTGTTCTCAATTATTCTTTTGAAACTATGATAGAATGAACGAGACTGAATTGAACATATGAGGGATTAAAATGATGGATTCCCCCTTTGTGTTTTTAGTGTTGTTTTTTCTTTGTAGGCATTACAGCATTTTCCAATGAACTATGTGAAAAATAAAATAAAGTAAAATAAAATAAAATAAAATCTCCTTCAAGTTGAGCTTGACTCCTTGACCTGTCCATGAAGTTATTTTGCCACAGTATACAAGTGTTTGCTATTATCTTATTCTGAGATTTTTTCCCTCAATTTTCCAATTCAGACTTCATATTTTTGGGTGGCTTCCCATCAAAGTACTAGCCAAACCTTAACCCACTTATCTTCTGAGCTCAGAAAAATTGGTCAGGTGCTGTGCCACCTGTCTCCAAATCTAATGCTCTTGAAATCACTCTCCAGAAAGTGATTGTATAAGTATCAAAGGCAACTCCTGGATATTGCCCATAATGGAAATAGTGACCATCATGTGGACTTTTTAAATTTCCATACCTCAGGTGCTACAAAATTGGCTGTGTAACATGGTGTCATTAGTAAACCATTCTCAGCTCTCAGTTGTTTGGCAAATCCAAAATCACACATTCTGATCGACTCTGGGTTCCCTGATTCATCCATGTACAAAATATTACTAGGCTTCAGATCTCGATGTACAACCTGAAAATAAAGTTGAAACACTGTGTGTTATCTAAACCCAAATTGCTGTAATAGTAAATGATTTGTCCCCAGCTGCAATTCTTTGAAAATTATTAGTTAATTCCAGAAGTGTCTTCTGGACATTTAGTTCCATGCTTTGATAAATATTGACATTACCACATAGCAACAGAGAAGAGGATACATTTTAATAACAAACCAGAGGAACTTAATGAATTTTATATTTATCTCTATCCTTCTGAGATATTAATCGTTTCCAGTAAATTACAGTACATGCAGCAAATCTGATTGGGAGCAGTTGATAACTGAGAAGCTGTAATTTGCCAGTAATTTGGCTCATTTCTGCAACTAGAAAGGTAATAACGATTAAATCTGCTATTTGAAGGATGCGCTGCAGGCATTTGATCTTTATTATAAGAGATCATACTTCTGTTCTATGCCATTCTATTTTATCTTGCAGTCTTCCATTTTTCACTATGAAGGAATATAAATGAATCACACGCCACATTCATTTTCACTGTGGATTTTGTGTCTGTGAGGGAAATGATATATACCTTCCAGGATTCAATATTTTAATGGCATGAAGTAATATTATTAGAAAGTTGATTGGATACGGAAGAACTGGTATACTCACACCCTGGGAATGCAGATAGTCCACAGTTTTACTAATGGTACAGAGAACGGCACTAGCCTCTCGTTCTGAGAAGCATTTCTGTCGAAGGATTCGATCTAAGAGTTCTCCTCCTCGCATCAGCTCCATTACAAGGTATACAAATTTCCCATCATCATAGCCCTGTACATGCATGCAGAAAAGTCATCAAGTACTTGCTCTGTAAACCTTAAATGCACTAAAGCAGTGTTTCTCAACCTTGACAATTTTAAGGCATGTGGATTTCAACTCCCAGAATTCCACAGCCAGCAACGCTGGCTGTGGAATTCTGGGAGTTGAAGTCCACATGCCTTAAAATTGTCAAGGTTGAGAAACACTGCACTAAAGCCTCATACAGGTAGTCCTTGACCGACAGACATTCATTTAGTGTCCATTTAGTGAAAAAAGTGACTTATGAAAGTTTTTCAACACTTATTTTTTGCACTGTTGACCACTGCAGTATCCCCATTGCCACGTGATCAAAATTTGTACGCTTGGCAACTGGCATGTATTTATGATGGTTGCAGTGTCCCAGGGTCATGTGGTCACCTTTTGCAATCTTCTGTCAAGCAAAGTCAATGGGGAAGCCAGATTCACTTAACAACCGTGGCAAGAAAGGTAATAAAATGGGGCAAAGCTCGCTTAAAAATTGTCTTGCTTAGCCCCAGAAATTTTGGGCTCAACTGTGGTCATAAGTTGAGGACCACCTGCATTATCTTATTGTGCACAAATAAGATAAGAAAAACCACTTGTTCCTTTCCAGGAGTCAAACTGGCATTGGCTTGATGGGAAATCTAGTGGCCATAGTTCTTAATGCAGGTGGTTACATTAACTCAAGTTACCCACATTTTAATTAACATCAACATTTTATTGACCTGCATTTTTTTTTGCAACATTTGCTTATCGTTCTAGAAGTAAAACAGAAAGATATAGGACAGGGATGTCAAACTGCCGGCCCGAAGGCCGGACGCATCATCCGGAAGCCACGCCCACCCCATTGCCGGCAATGGCAAAACCAGCCCGATCCGTTGTGTGACGTCATGTGACGTCGCACGTTTGACATGTCAGATGTAGGATATAGAAAGGAATATAAAACAAATTCTATAACAAATGTTATTTTTGTGAATAGTTTGCTATACTCTTCAGCTTAATATAATCAGGAATACACAATTTGGTCTTTTTCAGATGTTTGAACAACTCTGTCAATTCTTACCACTGATCATATTGTTTGGGGATAATTTCAACTGAAGTCCCAATCACTAGATGGCACTAACATGCCTGCCTTGGCTTAATTCAAATATTTCGTGATTGCATACTCCTGATTGTAAAGTAATGAGCTAAACAGGCAAGTGTGGTTGAACTAGATGAACTTAGCCATGTGTATCCCAGCTTAGCTGCCTGGCCCTGGTTTTTAAATAAACGAGAATCAAATCATTATTTGTTGCTGTTGATATATGAATATAGGGAGGTCAAGAAAAATTACATGTTGTACGGCAGCCTTGAAGAGGTGTTGTTTTCTATAGAAAAGGTGAATTTGGTATCATCATCAAGTGTTTATTTACCTATATATCTGATCATTTTATTGTATGAGAGTGGAATGAAAAATTATGTCTCCTCTTCCATAACTTTGAAGTAGGGATAATTTAATAAATGAAACAAGTAAATAATCCTTGAAGTGAGTTCTTCTGTTACCTGCATTTACTTCTCTGTGTAATTACCACTGTTTGCTACACACCTCTGCTGATGATGCACAAGCTTCTTGAAGCTGTCACATGAAAGAACTCCATATTTTATCCCTTCAATCAAGTCCTGAAGGTCCTTTCCATATTTTCATTTGATTACAATAATGTCCATGTAGATATTGCTTCAGTTAGGGGGGAAAGTGGAAGTCCAATGATGCCAAGTCTGGACTACATAGTGGATAGGGTAATACACTGAAATCTAATTTTACAGTTGCCCCTCAGGTGGCTCATGAAATGTGAGGTACAGTATTGTCATGTTGCAATAAAATCTCTTTCTTGTGATTCTGAACTCTGTTTTAATCACTGTTTCAACATTTTGAATTATGTGGTGTATTGTTCTGATTTGACACTGGTATCAAGTTCAAGAAGATCCTTCTGAATAACCCGATCTGTATACCCCAAAACCATAACCACAAATTTTATTGCCAAAGCCCGAGGTTTAATTCCCCCCCCCAATAGGTGAAGCTTTGTGATGATATTTCATGGTCTGATGCTTCATTTCTCGGTAATGATGAGCATATATTTCATTGGCCACTTTTATTTCATAGCCTGACAAACTGGTGGTAAAGTTTAAGACTTGAAGCTTTCATCTCTGCAGTCAGCATATGAAGAAACCATTTTGCACAAATCTTCTGATACTGAAGATCATTAATGTAACTCACATCTTCCTGAGATATGCCAAGCTTGATTGCAACTTCCCTTTGGGTGACCCAAGAGCCCTTAATCAGTTCATCAATTCTTCTGAGATTTAACTCATTGGTTGGTATCTCAGGTCAAACCTCTTCTGGTTTAACGTTTTTACATGTTTTGACCTAGCAACGCACACTACTCACATCATCACAATTGTCACCATAAACAACCTGCATTCGAAGGTGAATTTCAACTGAAGGGACTCTGTGGCAGTCAGAAATGTCAATCACAGTGCGTGGCTTAAAGTGCACTGATGAGTACTCATTGCAGACTTCCATTTGAGAAATAATAGCAACATAACTTATTCTCACAATAATTTCCAAGTGAATGACTAGATGCTAAAGAATATATTAGAGCTTTTAGTGTGTCAGTTCTGCCATCTGTTGTAGGCAACTTGAAGACATTACTTTTTATTCAGCTCTCATATTTCCAAAAATAATTACAAAGAGGAGAGACTTATTATATCATTTTATTTGCGTTACTTGTATGAAAAATATATCTTTTTTTTTTTTAAAAAAAGCATGAAGCTCCCTAAAAGAATGGTAATTTCTAATTTTTTGCGACATTTGCTTATAGATTGTTCTTAGAGCAATCCTCACCATTTTGTAAAATGGAAAACCTTTGTGTAAGGGCACTATACATAAGGTTGCTGCCTCCATTTTAAAAAAATTATCAACAAGGTCTTTGTAGTTATTTAATTCTTTACATTCTGATCCAATGTCAGAATTCAGCATAATTGTAATTAAACAAATAAAAAGGTTATTGTGAATTTATTAATACACCTTCTAAACCCAATGATACAGCACAGGTTTCCACAAGATTGTTGGAATGGGTATCATACAGATTTCCCTAAAAAACATTTCTTATAGATCAGCTTACTCACAAGGAGATATGCACAATAAATATGTAAACTGAACAACTACTCACATCTTTGAGTGTAATAATATTTGGGTGCTGTCCATATCTCAGAAGAATCTCAATTTCTTCTGAAGGGTCTCTTTTGCCCTTATCAATTATCTAAGGGAGAAATGGAAAACAGAGAAAATTCAAAGAGAGGAAGTCTCATATGTGCATTTGAAAGAAAAGCTATGCATAGATTATGTTATGCTAAAATTAAACAGCAATCTATATTAATGAACAGATTTTGGGAAACAGTTAAACAATAGCAACCAGAGACTGAAAAAGAAATCATTTCCTGATTCTGACAATGAAGAGAAGCCAAGGGACTCATAACAAAAGGGAAGTTTTATATTGTCACTGGTGAAGCTAGAATTAGATGCACCTGAGCTCCAGAGCCACTGAAAGCCTTGAGTGCAACCTCAGAGTGTCCTTCAAAAATTGTAATTTACAATGTGACAAAAAAGGGAGAATGATCAAATGCAAGACTCTATTAAAATTTTATTTTACTGATTGAATTAGAATGTAAATGGAAAGACTGCTACTTTTGCCCTGAAATCCAATCGAGGTCCTACAAGTCCAGGAGAACCTCCAAATTACATTCTAACTATGCCCTGGGAAAAGCTCCTTTAGTATGGTTTGTATGTGTTTCTTGCCTCAGTTGAGTATGCAGTATTTGTACCTGAAAAGGAAATCACTGGGGCTCAAACTGTTGCCCTCTGCTTTAGAGTAAAACTGTTTGTAAATAAAATTTCACTAATTCTGCATTTTCATACCCTCCTCTTTATTATACTTTTCTGTTAAGCCAGCATGCTCGGTAATATGGCTGTAGCTGGAAGAAGTAGCAGAATTATGTAGGGAGAACATAATGTGAGTTACCGACATGGAATTGCAAGATGGTGGATGCAATTAAAGAATAATTTTGTTGTCACTTGTGCATCTATAAAAGGGACATGGGCTTCAGTTGTGATATCACACCAGCCATCTTAAAGATTTTGAGATGTGGATGCCCTATCATTTAGGGTCTAACTCAGTGTTGGCAGATGCATCTTTGACATAGTAGCAGATCCTGTCCACTGTCACATAATTTGCTTGAAGTGTGTTAATGACAGGACAAAATAATCTATGATCTCTGTGAATTATTCCATCTTTAATTAATTCATCTTCGAAGTTTTTTTTTCAGTATCAAGGAAAAATAGTTGGAATGTTCTGCTAATGGGAACTGCACAGTTTTGTTGTTTTTTTCATCTGATCAAAATGTCACATTAGCAAGTGCCCAAGTACCCAAACATAATTACCTCTGAGGTGTAAGAAGGGCTGTGCATGCTTTACACTTTATATAAGCAATTCAATAAAGCAGACTGAGTTTTTAGGGCTCTGTGCGAGGCTGAAAAACATTGCAGCTGCTTAAGAGTTGCATTACTTTTTGTGAAACTTCTTAAAACAGCAACATGGGTTTTCACTCTTGTAGAAGATGGGCTGCTTTAATAATTAGCAGAGAGATGCTTTATTTGTGCTTGCATGAGTCTGAAGTATTTCTTTCACGTTATTTTTGAAATGTGTCCAACACTGATGATTACCATTATTTTAGGAGAATCTGTAATTACTGTTTCAAGATATCTTGAAGGAGAGAGATTACTGACTGTAGTTGTTTCTATGATTTTGAATTATCTTGAAGTTATGCTTGATTAACTTTGGTGATTCATTCACTGGACAGTAACATCATCCATAAAATTAGACTTATTATTTTAGAGAAAAAGAAGAAATAAACTACTAATATTTTAAGCAGTATGGCTTACTGTATAAAGTATATTCCTGATTTTGTCTACCATTAATTGGCAGCATTCACATATTTAACCTTCAACTAAATCGTTGTTAGCATTCAAAGTATGTGTATGCTGATGCATTTAATTAACTCAGTTAAACATTTTTCATTGGGTTGAACAAAACTGTGATGGTTTTGCAAGTCCTTTAGTATGGAAATGCTATATGATGTCTTTTTTGTTCTCGAAACTTTTAAAATATCACCCAAAGGAATGCAGAGTTTCCACAGTCGAAGTCTTAACAGGCAGAAAGAGTTTGATAGGCACAAGACTAATATTCATCTGTGATGAATCTTTTCAAGAGGAAAAAAATGATGCACAAAAATGAATGAGAAAAGAACTGTGCAAAAATGCACATTAGGGGAAAGCAAGAAGATGCATTTAAATTGTTCACTTATAAAAAATGTAGACAAAAATCTATAGAAATGGATATTTTTACAAAAGTATTCATTCTTATCAATGTGCTTACAATATAAATATACAGAACACACAACATTTATAACTTGGAGCCATTTCCCCTTGTCTATTAAACATAACAATGTTTCTCCGAATAAGAGAGAGAATTGTATTGTAGCTCTTCACTGGTAGCAACAGACACATTCTTGGCATATGTTCAAGGAAATTCTTGTTATTATTTATTCAAATATTTCAGGAGCAGGCTTAGGAAATGTAAGTGTTGTGGTTCAGTATGAAACCTGCCAGTTCAAACTGGTTGTTTTATCTCATGACAAAATAATAAAGTTAAATAATGGCAGTATGTTAGTCTTAAGGTACATTTGCTAGCACAGCAGATCATAGCCGTAGAAGTATGGGGAGAAAGGTGAAAGGGGAAGGGTCTTTTCATGTAATTAAGCCTCTCTCCTCCTGCCCCCCACCCCAGTTCCTAGAATTATTCTAGTTACTTGAATGATGGAAAACATCAGCCAGGATTTGATAAGTTCTCTGCATTTGTTGTATTCCATCTGTTATACTGTTCAAAGAAGCATGCAACCAGCATGTACTAGCAAAAGAAGAAATCAGCAACCAGTTGTAACATGAGAATTTGTCCTCCTGTTTGTCCATACAACTATGACTATAGTAAGCCTTCTCCAATCTGTTGTAAAATCCCTCCAGCATTTGTGCACAATTATACAGACATTTCATCTCATTTACTGTATATCTACTCATTCATTCTCTCTTACACAAGTGATTTTGTCCCCATCTAGAACAGCATGTAGGCTTCAAAAAGCCTAATTCCCATGAGTGGATTTCAGGTGGCACAGAATGCTTGGGGGGGGGGGGCTTGTAATCTTTTATATCCCAACAGTTAGCTCACTTCCCAAATTATTCCATAAGTAAAATCAGGTTTGAAAAAAAGATCCCTATTTACTATAATGGGAAACATTTTGATCAAAAGTGCTTTGTGGCAGGATTCAGAAAAGTGAATCCTGTGTCCTTTGGTAATTAATAACTCTTCCAAGGAAAGGCAACTTCTCCAAGTCTATTCCTATTTTATTTTGTTAATTAGTTGCAGACAATATTTTTTGCAAGCATATAAAGGGGGGGGGGTGTTTCTCATAGGCACTTTTATCACTCTTTCAGCACTTCCCAACCCCTCAGAAACAGTCTTGCAACAGTTCATTGTTAGTTTTAACTACAGACATTGCAAGAATGAACCACCACATTAAACCAACGCTCTCCCCAGCTGACAAATAAGGAAAAATCATGTCTGGCCATCAAACAGTGCTCTGGTCTCCTCCCTTTTCTTGCCCTACGACTTTCAGACAAGGAAAAAAGAAAAACAAAAATGCAGATCACTGGCTGCAAAGCTCTGGGCAAGGACACCGGTAGGCCACAGTGGCTGAAGGGGCGAAGGAGCCAGAGTGTCAAGAGTTCCCAGTCATGGAAAATCAGCGACCACAGACTACATGGAACTTGAATTCCAAAGATAAGAAAACAAAACAAAAGTGATTTCAACTGGGCTGAAATTGAGCTAGAAGAAAACTGGTGTAGCTGATATAGGGGTATTTAACTAACCTGAAAACAACTCAATAATCCCAAGTAGAAGTGCCCTTGGTCATGTCACACAAAAATTAACGATGTTTGTATATATAACAAACAAGAAAAAATAAAGGACTCTCAGAACATTCATTGCTTCTACTTTAAACATCAGTCTGGCTGGCTTCCTTTAGTGAACCAGCGCAAGTAAACAAATATTTAGGAAAGAAACATTTATGGCTACACATGTCACAAAACCATCAGAACAATTCTCAGCATATCTCTCTAATGCTTTCAACAAGAGCTTTAAAGCACAGTGTTGGATAGCCAACTGTGTTTTTACATCTTCAAATCTAAATATTTCATGAGTCTTTAAATTAGATTTTATTTATTTATCAATCTTATATGGCTGCCCATCTCACAAGTAATGACATTCAACATGAATGTCATTACTGTATAATCTAGTTCAAATCAAAATGAGAGTTGGATCAAAGAATAAAGCCAAAGTTGGATTATGTTCAGTTAACTTGTTAAAATACCCTAAAAATCTGTATTATTTAACATGACCTGATCTGCTCTGGAATTTTTTATACTTGCAGAGCTATTGGGGGAAATGAAATGGCAACAGTTTTGCCATTTAAAAAGAAGCAAACTTTAGAAATCCAAAGATAAATTTGATGGATTTCCTGAGATTGGATCCAAATAGCCATGTGGCTAGGACCAGGCTTTGTTCTCTTTTGATACTGTACCTTATGTCAAAGTTAACATGAAATGCAAGAGATTTTTTTTTAAAAAAATGACATAATATGACAAATAAATTGTGATTGCTAGAGATTAATAGAAAAAAAGGAATGCTCCGTTCACATATACATTTTCCTCATGGGTTGACTTATATTTTACATTCGAAACTCTCCTTCATATTGTCTGGTTCCCATTACTTCTTGCCCTGCTGCATCAAGGCAGCAAAACCTGTATTAGTTGCCTTTGCCAGATGATCACCAGACACACCACAGTGATTCCTTACCTTTACTGCAAACTCTGCTTCTGTAGCTTTGTGAATACACCTCTTGCAAACAGAATATGAGCCAATGCCGATGTCTTCCCGGATTTCATATCCATCTGTAAAGTGAATATTGTTCCCATGTAACTGCTACAGAGGGAAACAAAACAATAACAATAAAAGGACAAGTCTTAGGGTTGACTCCATCAGAAGATTCTCTAGCACTAGCAATTCAGAGACAATTGATTAACACAGAGAAACAGCTAATTAAACAAGTGCTGCCTTAATTCTGTCCAATTGATCTTACAATCCTTAGCATGCTTGGCTTTCTTTTACGTAAACCCGACTAAGTAAAGCTACAGCAATATTAGTATAAAAATACAACACAGTTGATCCCAAAATAAACATTCCATTGAAGTTAAACCTCCTTTAAGGTAAGTTCAACTGCTGATGATTTAATACAAATGTCTCTGTAGTTTTCTTGGCAAACAACCTGAAACTTATTTGCCATCGGTTTTGGGGTGGTTTTTAAAATTTCTATGCTAGTCAATGACACTTTCCTGATCGCTAAGGATAGAAGCTGCCGTCTGGCTGAGCTGGTGTGAAAAAAGCAAATTCTATGATTTTTAAGGAAAGGAGTTAAATAAAAAAAGTAATTTCCCATCCTCAGTGAATTTATTATTTTGTATTTATTCACTGACTGGCAATGGCTATTCAGGCTATATTCCCTGGGGATTTTTCAGCTCTCCTTGGAAATGTAGCGGATGTTTATGATGATGATGATGACAGTCATGAAGTTCATGATTTATGTATTGTCTTTCTGCCAAAATGACATTCAGAGAAACTCATCTGGGAACTTCTGCATGCAAAGGGTATCCTCTATCATGAAAATAAACCTCCTTCTCACATTAGCTTTTATTGCTAATGTGAGTTTTGGGCTGTGGACCTGTGTTGTATTTCGCAAGCTGGGACTGGAGAGGAAGGACACAATACGTTACTGCTGATACCGCAGAAAAAGATGGTGGAAACAATTTATTTAAGGCAGTGGTTCTCAACCTGTGGGTCGGGACCCCATTTGGGGTCGAACGACCATTTCACGGGGGTCGCCAAACAACGCAGTCCGCCATTTTTTTTCCCCTTTTCCTTAGCTGTGCTACTCCCTTTTATTCTATTGGCTTTGAAAGCCAATAGAATAGACTCTCTTGAATAGAGTCTAATTCTATTGGCTTTCAAAAGCCAATAGGAATTGTCCAGGCTGTCTCTGCCCTGCTGAGCCCGCCAAAAGTCCCATTCTGCAAACGGTGCTGCACCAGTTGAGTAGTCCTCGACTTATGACCGGTTGAGTAGTCCTCGACTTACGACTGGTTGGGGGTCGTGGCATTAAAAAGGTTGAGAACCACTGATTTAAGGTATCGTGACACTTTGTGAAAAATGGCTGATAATGGAAACTAAATCTTTCCATGAAATAAATGAAACTGTTTACACAAAGGTGTAGTCACATCACTGCTCATACTTGTGGGTAATTTTCTGTCAGAACAATTTCCCTTCAGTGGGTATAGCTCACATTCAGCTCTTAATTAGGGTACCACTTTCTGGTACTGAAATAGGGAAATTCTCTTTTCCACATTACAAAATAGTTCATGCTGGAAACATGAGAAGCTGACATATGTACAGTATATGTTATTCTTAATCATTTAGATCAGTGTTTCTCAACCTTGACAATTTTAAGGCATGTGGACTTCAACTCCCAGAATTCCACAGCCAGCAATGCTGGCTGTGGAATTCTGGGAGTTGAAGTCCACATGCCTTAAAATTGTCAAGGTTGAGAAACACTGATTTAGATAGCACTGATATTATTAACATTTTATATTTTAGGGGTCATCATTTCTTATGCTCCTAGAACAGTGGTTCTCAACCTTTTTAATGCCGCGACCCCCAACGGGTCGTAAGTCGAGGACTACTCAACCGGTCGTAAGTCAAGGACTATTCAACTCTAGAACCACTGTCCTAGAATATAATATAATAGGGGAGCTCCATATTTTGAGTGGATTCCTGGGTAATTCAGGATTTCAAATATTCTCAAAACACAGTTACAATTCTTTCTAGTATGAAGTAGAGGACAGGATTCAGATGGAAATGAAATTAGCATTTAGTCTGAACTCATTCAGCCTTCGTTGGAGGCCTTAAGGAAAGCAGCCTCTTAAAATAAATCTAAACCTACTAGAAATACCTAGAAAACCTAGAAAACCCTGGAAGTTACATGTTTAATAGGTTTGTGAGAATATTCTTTTAAGTAGCAGTTTATTCTATCTGGGATAATTTCAAGTCTGGTTCTGTACTCTGCCTCCCTGTTTCTTTCTGTTTTCTCAGTCTAATTACATGGTAGTGTTACCTTTGGTTTGAAACTAAATGGCGACAATACTGTTCTTTCAAATCTTTACGTCGCTGCTGTTATGAAGAAGAAAAATATTTTTCTTCTAACTTAATTTATAATCAATCACTTCATACTCCAAAACGGCTTGGGCTTAGCAAGCCCAATTAAAAGATAAATCTGGAACTATTTATTTTAAAGTCTTGTCCTACAGGGGGCACCTCCTGCTCTACCCATCCAGATTTCAGAAGATGGGCGGCAGCGCATTCAACTGCTTGCCAGGAAAAATCTTTCACCTGGATTAAACAGCCACACCTGGACAACTGAGGCAAAGAAGATCCCAGGGAGGATTCTAGCAAGTTGCAGGGAGGGGGCTAATGATACACCTTCCCCGTCTTTCTCACTGCTACCACCTTAAATTATAAGAACTTAAATTATAAGACATTATTCAATAATAGAAGATTATTGTCATTATTATCCCACTTTTCATACATAGAAAGCTCTCAAAGAAGCTAGCAGAGTTAAAAACAGATACTAAAAAACATTTTTAACCAATTCAAGTGACTAAAAGCCTTGAATTAATTTCTAGAAATAGAAAAAGTAATTGTATTTGACTTAATGCTTGGAGAAAAAGCACAAGTAGCGGCAAGGTGTGTTTTGCTATAGCAGGAGAAAGCAATGATTTTTACTGCAAATCCCACAGTCTGTTGCCATTTCTGCCTGTGGCTGCCTAAAATATCTGGAGGATACTAAACATTGCACAAGCAAAAGAAATAGCAGGACAAGCACAAATTATGTTTAGGGTAATAAAGTCATGATGAACTATGAAAGTGCTTGTTTGTGTGTCCCTGCTTGTATAAGCAGAACTAAAGGACTAAATCTGACATTTTTTGTAAATGGGGTTTCCACAAGTTATAGAAATTTTGAACTACTACAATAAAACATCAATTTAATAGATTCTATTTAGCAGATTTTAAATGCAATGAATATTTCTAGTGAGACATTACCTGAAATAGTGGACATTTGGATAATAAAAGAATTTGCTCACAAATAAATAGCCAAATTAAGAAATTCACTTCCGTAAGATGGTGATGATACCAACAAAAGATGATTATTACTTATTAAATTTATATCACATCTTTCCTCCAGGAATTCAAAGTGAGATACATAAACTTCCAATGTTAGTCCACAACAAGCCTATGAGGTAGAGTGAATTAAGAAAAAAATGACTAGCTCAAAGTCATCCCAGTGTAGTTCCTTAGAACCTTTTAATCTAGGTTAGACAGGCAAATTTCTCCAATCCTAGCTGTTTTTATTAATGTTTTTATGCTGCAGTAACACATCTAGACGAAGTGAAACAGGTATAACAACTATACAGCCAAGTTCATACCTGGACAATTGGATGAACTGTGGCTTTATGTGGTTCTTGCTGTACAGGTTCCTGCCCCAAATTGGATGCCACAAAGCTGAATCCTCTGAAGAGATGATGAGCATTGGCACTTGGAGGGACACCTGGGGAATCTAAAGAGGAGATGAGAGATGACTCAAGATTCCAACCATTTCTTCAGTATTATTTTCCCTAGCAATGTTATAAAAGAAGCAATTTGGACACTAGAATCCAACCATGCTATTTTCAACATGGAGACATGCATCCTTCTCCATTTGCTTCCACATAAAGCTGCATCACAATTTCCAGAGTGACAACTCTGAATGCACTGAGATATTGAGACCAGCTATTAAAAAGGAGAATTAAGAGGAACCAAGTGACTTTCTGCCAAAAGCCTTTAAAGCAAGGGTGCCCAATCTTTGCAACTTTAAGACTTGTGGACTTCATCTCCCATGTTGGCTGGGGAATTCTAGGAGTTGAAGTCCACAAGTCTTGAAGTTGCCAAGATTAGACACCCCTGCTTTAAACTATTTAGGTGCCAGAAAAACAGACTACCCATAATTTTCTTTTTTTACCAGCAAACTGCACAACTGCTTGTACAATTCTTTGCATGCAATGTTTCATCCATCTGAGGATTTGTGGCAGTGCAGAATTTAAATGTAAAAGGATTTTCCAGTAGGTTGTACATGGAAGAATTAATGGGAAGTAACTGTGTAGTAATACAGAATCCTACAGAGTGTGGAGAGTCCTTCCAGAAGGACCACTCCCAAGTGCTATCCAGAAACACTAGGAAAAAATTGTGGAAAACACTACACAGTAGTAATTCTAATTCTCTAATTGAGCCACACCATAAAATCCCAATAATGAGTCTAGGTGAGTACAAGGTTAACAGATTCTTCTGGAAGCGACAGCAAATTTGAAAATATAAAGTAACTCCCCAGAGTCATCAAGTCATAATAATCACTTACAAAGGATTAGTACTGTGTTGTTTCTACCCATCCTATCTACTGAGGCAGAAAGGGCATGTTCTGGGTTCTGTCTGCCAAGGAGTGTCAAGCTGACCACCTAGGACGGTCGCCTTTTCTATTGTGGCATCTGCCCTCTGGAATATCATCCCTCTGGTGATGGAATTGGCTTTGTGGCTTCTGGCCTTCTGGAAAGCTCTGGAGACAGGTTTCTATGCCTGAGCTTGGGGCCACGGTGCATGAGGGAGACTGTCTCCTGCTTATATGGATTGCTGTTTGTGCTTTATAATTCTGCTGTGGGTCTTATGTTTTTAAATATTTTTATTATTCGCAAGTTGTAAGACATCCAGAGGTAATATTGACCCACTCATTTGAGATGACTGGTTTTATGGAAGGAAGGAAGGAAGGAAGGAAGGAAGGAAGGAAGGAAGGAAGGAAGGAAGGTAATCTTTAAACTGTAGATATATTTTGGATAGTTTTGGTTGATATTTTTTTTTAAATAAATGAAAAATTAATGGCAAATCTACTGATATGTTTCTTTGGTAAGTACCTGTTGGGGTCCGTGATGTGAATTCAGGATCAAAATGGAAAGTGTCCTCTGGTCGACCAACTGCAGGTTTAAATGGTGGTTTGATTTCTCTTCTGTACAGTTTCTGTATGAGAGCAAAGCAAGACAGAGGTTAATTCTCTTGCCAAAAGGGACCTTTGAGTTAGAAAACAGCTGTGAGTCAAATAATTAATAAGCAATAAATTCAATTAAAATAAATCAATTAAAATAATAGTTTTTAACACAGAAAGCTGCTTGACGGAACAGTTAATAAAAAAATGCTTTATATGCTTGCTGCATTTTGATTTGGGGAAATATGTTTCATGTTTAATACAGGAAAAGGGAGAAATTGATATGTTATGCTTAGCAGCATCACACAAGAGAAAGTACAAGGCTGCAATATTTTCCCCACTTAGGCTAAGTTTCCATGACAATCAACTAGACTTATTTTCCTCGTGGCAATATAGGATTGTGCTTTTCAGAAGTTTTAACTGTACATTAAAATCTATCTGCACATAGGAAAGTATTTGAAAAACAGTAGCCTGGTTTTTATTGGTATAGTTCGTTCATTACAGGGGAGAGGGAAGCAGTTCCACAGAAGCAAAACATGCTCAGCATATTTTGCCTTTAGTGACATTTTCACAGGCTGTAATTTGAAAATGACAGTGCAGATGCTCAGTATCAAGTATTGTAATAAAGTAATGCACTCATTACCTGACATAAATGTGAACTCATACATATCAGTAGGTTTGGTCTCTGGTTTTTAAACATGTAAGCCCATTGCTCAGACTTATGAATCCTAATTCAAAGATCTGTTGTACTCATCACTTTGAGCTGAATACATATTGATGTATTTATGAAAAGCATCCGGAAGCTGCAGTTGGTGCAAAATGCAGTGGCCTGCATGGTTTGGTGCAATCCTCGGTGTGCACATGCATCACCTCTCCTGTAGGAGCTGCATTGGTTGCCGATTTGCTTCTGGGTGCAATTCAAGGTGCTGGTTGTCACTTTTAAAGCCCTTCGTGGCTTGGGACCAAGTTATCTGAAGAATCGTCTCTTGCCGGTCACATCTACCTGACCCACTAGAGCAGGAAGGCAAGGAATGTTGCGGGTCCCGACCCCTGAAGAGATGCATCTGGCAGGATCCAGAAGAATGGCCTTCTTCATGGTGGCTCCCTCTCTCTGGAGCATCATCCCTCCAGAAATTAGACTGGCCTCCACTCTGACACTCTTTCGGAAAGCCCTGAAGATGTGATTCTGCCAGCAGGCCTTGGGAACCCAGAGCGGGATGGAGCCCATTAAATGGATGGTATGAGTGTCTGTTGTCACCGGGGTGAGGGAGTGGGGAGTTATTTTTTTATTATTTTTACCTCTTTTATATTGTGTTTTTATTTCCTGTAAGCTGCCTTGAGTCATTGTGAGTAGGCAGCAATATAAACTTTTAAAATAAATAAATAAATACAGTTATATAAAAATATATAAGAGAGATGGTAAATATATAGAGAGATGGTAAAATATGGTATTTATAAAGGACTTTGCACACTGATATGTGTAATACAAATTGTACATTACAGTAACTGAGGGAACTGTTTTGCAAGGAAGATGAAACATTACATTGGAAGTTATCTTTGAATATCTGAGAATTCAGCATTTACTAATTTGGTTTTCTTGTTGAAACCAGAAATACGTATTATCAGGGTTTTCAACTGTATCAAGACGTCTTTGAAGAAGCTTATTCTGGTGTGGTTATCTGTGGCAAGGATATATCAGATACATGTTAAAATAATGATAATAAAACTTTAATTAAAAAAAAATAAAACAACTTTTAAGTGGCAGAAGAAGAAATAGCATTATTTTTCCCTAAGGTTTTCACAACTGTTTTATTAGCTTTGATAAATAGATTTATTTGGATAATGTTTGAAATGCTGCCTTCATGGACATATTTCCTTACAAAGTCTTTATTTTTTATTCTAAGTGTCCAACATCTTTGCTCAGGAGTCCACTGCAAGTTTAAGGGGCTATTAGCACTTGCTGTGCTGTGATTTGAATGAAACACTACAGAAAAAAATAAGGAAATCCCTAAGAATCACATACTGAGCAATATCCTTCCTCATGAAGTCAAGAACACCTGATGTAACTCAACTTTAGGTTTATATATAAGTAGAACTTGAGAGACTGTCATATCAACAACCTTGGTATGCACCTGGTAATCATCCTGAAAGGAAATTCATTTTAATTAAATCAAAGAGTATATAGTCATTTCCTGTCCTGAATGCCCCTGATGGAAATGAATGAGAATAGCAAAGTTGCACCTGCTGGTCCTATACAGTATATATTGGGTGGGAAGGGTACATTGATCAGGCTTGTTTACAAAGAACTCAAAGCATCTATTTCTATGGAAACAGATCCTATCCTTGCAATCTCTACCTTCCATTTTTGCAAGCTATTCTGGAGAGGCAGTTCCCTTGCACACATCCTAAACAGGATATGGAAACTGAACTCCAGGCAGCAGCACATCCTTATGCGACCAATAGAAGAGAATGTATGTACCTCAGAGTTGAAGTGTGGAGTCCTTAATGCTCTCTGAGCTTGTTTTCTGTTATATACAGTAGTTTGCCCTATCAGGATTGGTGGGAGTGTGATTTTCCCTTGGTAATTCCTTGATTAGGGTGTTGTTTACCTCTTGATTATTTGTCTGATTTGATAATTCCTTGATTAGGACATTGGTACTGCTTAATTGCCTGGTGTTCATGCCTGTTGGGTACCCATTGCTAGTCAGGAGTTGTTCTGGTTTTTTTGTTTCCTTTTTCACTTTTTTATTGACTCTTTTGAATGGGGTGTAAATATTACATGTCTATTGATGGTTTATTAACTCCATCCCCAATACCCTCACCAACAGTGACAGGACAAGCTACTGTATATAAATAGAGAGCAAACCCCACTCCCTTCTAGCACTGAAGATATTATCTAGTCAGGTAACAAAACATCTGCAAGCAACAACAAAGCTCAGAGAGTACCAAAGACCCCACACCCTTATGCTCCCCCCATGTATTCATTCCCATCCTGTTTAAATGCATGCATTCTCCTAATGACATATATGAACACTGGGCTGATCTTCAGGTGCCTTCTAGAAATAGAAAGATAGTGAGTCATAGCAATTAAAATATGCTTAATATAATAAAGGATTTTCAGGAACAATACTCTTGCCACAAACTTAGACAGCCACCCCCCTCACCACATACATACTGTAATATGCAGGTGCAGAGATGAATTCCCTTTTAAAATGTTATCTTTGGACTTTTTGTATCAATAGATACTGAATAAAGATAAATTTTGTTCTGAGAGATTTCCCTCTTAACAAGCATAAACTATTTCTGCCATTAATTTAGGTTTGTAATTCCCAGCAAAGCTAGACAAAACCTCCATTCTTCCTTAAAATATTTGTACCAGATGCAGCAAAAGCAGGGTTTTATTAAATACTAGGATTGTACAGTACTTCAAATTCTGTCTTTGGACCATACACATCACATCAGCTGTGCCATTTCTGCTGCCTTGCAATCCCAGGAAAAGATACAGCTGCTTTAAAGTGCTGTAGAAGTCCTTTGCACCTTCAAGCACCTTGGGGAGATTGAAACCAAAGTCCAGCACACCTTATGAAATTGAATAATTCATATCCTGTGCTGGAGCCTGAGATCCAAAGGAAAAAATGGAAAGTTAAAGCCTGTAGTGAAAGTGCTGTGGGTAGACAATGCCATCTCTGGGCCAGTATCTATCACCTCTGCAGTCTCCACCACAAAGTCTTCTGGCTTGTTTGCTTTGTTCCTTCTGTAACTTCCATAAGGAACTGTGGCATAATTGTATGCTCATGGAGTTTTGAGCTGAATTGCATTTAAGTAGTGCCACAATAGTATTTTTTTTTTTTAGCTGCCACCTGGTTTTCTGAGTTACTTGAATTATGCAAGTATGGCAGGTATGCCCAAGACTTGTCTCCCTTTATACCTGCCTGATGCCAATGGGTCAGTACCAGCACACCCTAACTAATAAGTTCTAGTGCAGGCATGTCAAACTGCTGGCCCGCAGGCTGGATGCATCACGCCAAAACCGCGCCCACCCCATTGTGGCAATGGGGAAAAAGTCGCGATATGTCACATGACATCACGAGTTTGACATGCCTGCTCTAGTGGAATTTTGGAGGATGCTGTGAGCAGATCTGAGTACCCATTTCACAAATATAATGGGGATTATATAAAGGGTTCTGGTGTAATATGAACACAAGGTTACTCAATTAAACACTGTCAAAACGTTACTTGTTTCATTACAGGAAGGAATACATGTTTTGCTTTTTAAACATGAATTGTCTAATTAGTTGGCCATCTTACACACTATAGCACAGGATTATTTTAATTCTCAAACAATGTCTCAAATATTGCATGTTTCTTAGAATAATGGAAATGCTACAATATGATGAGGGCAATTAAAAAGCTGCTGCTTTTCTTTTAACCATTTCATGAAAATGTGTTTAATACTTTGGGACATATCCAATAGTGACTGTAAGGAAAACTTTCTCCTTAATCAAAAATATCATCTTTAGGATTGATTCATACCAAATTTTGTGAGGGACTGATCAATGCATATAAAGCTTCTGATTAAGTCATAAGGTCATATTTGACCTTTTCCATAACAACAGTGACCAGGACAAACCAAACACTTTCACTGGCTCCATTCTTCTCTATTAATTCTTTTCTTTTTCTATTCATGAAGAAGAGCTGTCTTTTTAGCAGCTGGAAGCATCATTATAAGATGACTAGAACTAGTTTCAGAACTCATGCTGGTACATATTCTAAAAACTATAAAGTCATGTGATTTTCTTCTTTTTAAATGCATTATTAAAATTGTATTGAAACCCTTTTCTTCAAAGTGGTATTACCTAAATATAGATAGAAGGAAAAGCTTATGCTGCAAATACAGTCAGGCTGGAATATTCATATTAGAATTTTATTCACCATCAATCTGGATGGATTCCAGAGAGACTGAGTTTTAAATTATATGCTGAATTATGTGAAAACAAGCCTCTCTGATTTTACAAAGTTTTTTTTCTCCCTTTAGGATCAGTGTATGATCATCTCCCCCCCCCCAAATGACTAGAAAATAATCATATTTTATTTAATTAAATCTAAAGTGCACAGTCTGTAATTTGGGATCACATAGGACCTTGCCAAATCCTTGGATATACTCTTTAGAGACTTCTAAAGTAATTACCAAATTATAATTGTTAATGTGAGAGAAAGCGAAAATATTAAATACCTGCCTAGTAATCATATTAACTATACTCAATATCAACTAAGTTTACAAGGTTGAGCATCTCTGAATGAAATCTACAGAACATATTTATTTTAGATGCCAACCTTGGCCATGGATGATATCAACTATATCTTTATTTCTAATTAAATGATGATATATGTGTTATGTGTAATATGATAGCATAGTTTTCAGCTGAACTTCACATATATCCAAAATATCAAATGGGATGATTAATTGTAAAGAGGTTTGTGTAGCATGATTCTGGTTTGCTTCCTACTACATTTCTATCAGGATTTGTGAAGGTTCATTTACAAAGTAATTAGATTGAACTGCTGAGTCATTCTGATGTGTTGAACTGAATAAATTCCCACCGATTAAGTGAGAAGATGAACTTTTGCGCAAGCATGAACAGACATTTAAAGAAATCAATAATTTGAATAGATTTAGAAAATCAGATTGTGGGCCATTCATATGTCCTAATTTTGATGCCTCTGCCCTTAGTATTACAAATTCTAGGCTCTTGTACCAAATTTTCCTCCAGCAAGGAAATATAATGAGGCAATTTGGATCAGACAACAGCATTGGTAAATTTATTGAATGGAAGAAGTACATTTAGAGAAAAGAAAGTGGCCTACTTTTATATCCACTCCTGCCATTGCTGATTATTAAGTCTCACAAGATTATACCTTGCAAGAAAACTCAGTTTTCATTTTTTTAAAAGTTTATTATTATTACTCTGGCCTAAAGGCATTCACATTTTGCAGTCTCATGCTACTCACTTTATATCCGTCATATATTCCATGGCAGAACAGTAGTACAATACGTACTTTTGAATAAGGTGTCTCAAAGACAGACAGCCTTTAGTGATCAGGAGCCTATCTGACATTATGAAACTATATAGCAGATATTCATAAAATGACTTCCAAAGTTTGGGGAGATGTACAAAAAAACCTGTCTGTGTCTTCCCACAGCATCTTGTCTTTTTCCTTCATGCAGAACTCTAAGAAAAAGACAGAACAGATGTCCAGTGTCTTCAAATTGTTTGCACCATTGGCATTCTTCCAGCCACAAAGAGCTATATCCTTCCTAAAACTTGTGGTATAAAAGCAATGGCAGTCTCTGGTGATCTACCGAGTAGGTGCTCCAATGAAAAATCCTTAGCAGGGATCACTAGATAGGGACAGGACCAGGATATGGTTGCCTATGACTATCAGGCCTGGATTACATACTGTTGCCCTTTCATTAGCTCCATAGTTGACCCAGAGTATAAGTTGTCTTCTGCCATTTAATGATGCTTGTTTAGAAAGCCATGTGTTCTCAGCCTTCTTGGTTACCATTTAGCAGCAGAATCCCTCTTTTGTATTCTTCACTGTATCACCAAACAGCTTTAGTGGGGTCCCTGAGTAACTTAACCTTCCCTAGCTCTGTGTTCTCCAGATGAATATGGTTTCAATCTATCTGAATGTCCTGCAGGCTGGAAATTTGGAGTCTGACATATCCAGAGCAGAGGTCTCCTAGCTTGGCAAATCTAAGACTTGTGGACTTCAGCTTCCAGAATTCCTCAGTCAGCCATGTTCAGTCATTTCCCCATGCTGGCTGGGGCATTCTGGGAGCTGAAGTCCACAAGTCTTAAAGTTGCCAAGTTTGGAGACCCTTGATCTAGAGGACATCAAATTATACCCAGAAAAGATTTTTGCTGCTGCTAAATTGCATAGGGTACTTGGAACGGGGAAACATTGTTTAGAATACTGAAATTGGGTTGCCATTTGCTAGGAGAACTTTTAAATTAACTGTGTGATTGATTGATTGATTAATTGCATTGTACAATAGATCACTTGGGTAAACTACTTACATTCCAGTCAATGGTGGCAAAAAAGGGATGACGTTTAATTTCTTCAACTCCATCAAGGCCAGCACCTGCCAAGGAAATGAAAAGAAGACACAGAGGGCACAAGGTTTTTTTCTGAGTTTGTCTTCAAGAGATGTAGAGTGGCAGAAACAAAAGAGCAGAGACTTTGGTAATGTGAAATTGTTGAATTATTGTTAATTGTTGCATTGAATTATTACAGTTAATTTTCTTCAAATAGTAAAGCAAAATATTATAATTGAATTACTAATTGTCTACTTAGTTAGAATGTGAGACAGAGTATTATATAGTATGGAACAAGGTGTATGTCTGGTTGGAGACTAGAATAATAGAGGAGAATAAATATGGAAAGGTCAAAAGTGAAAATATGTGTATAATAATGTATAATGATAATAATATGAATTATTCTTAGTAAGAAGTAGAACATGAAGGAAGAAAAATGTAAATAAGAAATAATGGGGCTATAAGGACAAATATTCTAAAGAAGAATAAGGGGGAAATGTAAATATTAGATTACCGTTACGTAACTGCTGTAAAAAAAAAGGAGGAGTATATATTATGTGTGTATGTGTGTTATGTTTTGCTTTGTTCTGTTTTGTCTTTTTGGTTAAAAATAAAAATTAAAAAAAAAGAATGTGAGAATATATTAATATATTGATATAGGCAAAAAAGAAAACATGTAAATTAAGAGTGGGACTAGTTCTATTGAGAGCCTAGTTCAAATCCACAAGTTACAAAGCTCAGTGGATAAAGAGTTTAAGCCATCTCATAGCACATTCTGCATTTACAGTAAATGGATAAAATGGAGTGGGACTAAAGCGCACCAATGTGCAAAGCCTTGCCCTCCTCCAAGTACAAACAGCTCATTTGCGTAATACACAAACAAATATGTATCTAATCCTCATTTTAATATTCAAGCTATTAAAATACTCAAGAGCACATTTAATTTTAGACTCTCTAAAAGCCAAATTAAAATAGCTCCATAGTTTTAAAATGTTTAAGGTTTGTTTAACAGAATTGCATCTGCGTTATAATTACTTATTTTGTAGTTTATAGTACATTGAAGACATTTCCTTCAGTACAGTACAGGAAATTTGCACAATTCCAGATGTGCATTAGAATTCCCATAATTCTCAGCTTGGGCATTTCTGCCTTTTCTAAGCAGAAGAGAAGTCTGAAGAACTTCAGTCTCTTCCAATCTATTTATGCCTCTCTTCTTCATTTCAGCTTGTTTAATTCCTTTGATTCAGCATTTTTTTTTAAACAAAGGTACTCAAAAATCATTAAGCAACTTGGATTTAACTGAGCCATATATTTAATTAGAGCATTTGTTATCCTAATGGAGAAGAGCATTTAGAAGAAGGATTATGCAGCAATTTAGAGGATGAGCCTGTAAACTACTGAGCATTTTGTTCAAGCAATTTCCATTTTCCAGAGTGGATTTAAAAGATACTGCAATGGACAATCAAAGCAGTTGTTTGGAAGCGTATTGTGCTTTTCATAATACTGTCCCTTTCCTTCTGAATGCCTGTACTTTCTGGAGAAGAGCCTGCTTGGTTAAAAGCCTATCAATAAGTGGCTGTGTAGACTAGGTCTAGCTATTAGACAAAAGATGTTCTCTACGTTTGTTTGATTGGTCCTCAGAAATGGCTTCCCTGTAGTCTTTGCTCACCATCTGCTGGTGAGAAATCATTGAGCACATGGAACCTAATGGTTGGATCTTGAGTGTGGCTGTCTGTCTCTTGCACAAAGACGAAGACTTAAAAGTTGAGGGTGACCTGAGGTTGTTATTTATTTATTTGATTTATATTTTGCCCATTTCCCTCTAGGGAGTGACTCTGGAGAGCATCTTTGTTGTTTTTAAGCCTTTGAATAATTAAACATGCTGAGCAAAAAAGCAACAAGTGAAAGAATTCCATGTGTGCTGAAATCTTTCACCTAGATTGCCCTTCCAAATATGCTTGGCCTCCATTCTCATAATCCTCAGCAAGCTTGGCCATAAAAATGACCAACTGGCATGGTTTTTCTTACCATCACAAAGGTGATAAAGTTTCCTTTAGTTTACAAATGTATTTAATGCTGGAAAATTTGCATAAAAATACGACTCCTGGGCATGTCTATGGTACAAATAAAATACGAACACCAGGAGAGTATAAATATAAAAATATACTTTACTAAAAGCTGCCAAGCTTTCGTTTGGAAACTCCAAACATCATCAGGGCTAAGGAGCCAGTAAACAATGATGACTTAAATGGGTTTTGCCGGCATCTGCACCCGGCTCATGGACCGCGTCACCGGTCCCGGCCGGTTAATTAGTGTTCCAGATGTTTCTTTATTACTCTCCTTACGCTTCCTTCTATGGTTCTTCCGGATCATTCCTTCCACTATCTCATTACTGGTATTCATCTCCTCCACCACCCCTTTATCCTTATTTCCTTCCATAGCACTGATCCTCCTCCCCTTTTTGTTTTCATTCTCCACCCTGGGGGGCATCTGTTTCTCCTCTATCAGTGTTACAAGCTTCCCTGGGCTCACATACGCTCCCCCACACACACTTTTCCCAATCCCTGCTCCACACCCTTTCTTCTCACTCTTCCACTGTCATGAGTAACTTTCATATGGGTGTTACACATTTGGGGGTCTATGCCCTCCTCCTCCATCCTGGCAATCTTCGTGTCGACAGTTCTCCACCGTTCCATTTGTTTGCTGCGTGATCGGGTGCTTACCCCGTCTCTCAATTCATCCCTCCTCCCTATCGCACGCTCTTCCCCATTGCTGATAGGAACGGTATTCAGGCGGACACCAGGTCTCCAGATCTCTGCATTCTGATTCCCCGCGTTCTCACTCCCCTCTTCTGTGCTCGTCTTTGGGGGGACTTCAAAGTGTTCGTCCCGGGAGGGGGCTGTATTGTTGGTGGGGGTATTCCTTGTCTGCAGGGAATCCAGGCAGAATTCCGTGTCTCTCCCTTTCACCGTATGCCTAGGCAATCGAGCCATGCTTTCGTTCTTCTTCTCCCCCCTACCCACAGCGTCAGGCTGCAGGCTCCTCATGCTGGATCTTCCACACTCTCCACAGTTGTTGTTAAGTTCTGGGGGTGTATTTAATGTATTTAAATATATATGTTTATTTTTTTTTTAAATTTTAAATTAAGCTTTGGGAAATAAACTCCTTTTAGACCAGGTCTGACAGATTTTGCCTCTAAAACCTCTCATATGGTACCCATGAAGTCCTTCTGTGCCCTACAATAAGTTCTTTCCATAGAAATAGTTTGCCTGTCCCTCCTGATTTTATAGTAAATGTAAAGAATGTAAAGCAAGCATACTGCCAATCAAAGCACTAGCTTCCATTTTCATACTTATTTTCAAGAATATCTTTGGGCTTCCAATGGATTCTGCAAGCTTTCTTAGAATATACGAAGGAACAGACAAAGAAAAAGGCCTGCTTGGCCAAAAAACAGGCAAAGATATTTGAGAACATTGTGGATGCAAGTGAGGTGAGGTACTAGAGAGATTTTTGCTAAACTTTTTTTAATGTTCCCCGTGTAAACATTTTGTGAATGGAGAACAATCCCAACAGCTATTTTGCAAGGTCACCCTCAATATGTTTGCAAATTTCCTAGAGACCAAAAAGGCTGGGGCCCCCAGTCTACAGTCATCCAAGTTCATAATATATAAGAGAGAATGAGTTATTTCTTGAACCACAGCTTTCAATCTTGTTAATAATGCAATAGAATCATAAATTTCAATATTCTCTCTCTCTCTCTCTCTCTCTCTCTCTCTCTCTCTCAGTTATTCCGCCAGTAACCTAAGGAGGAAATTGCAAAATAATGTGGTGGTTTTTTTAAAGCAACATAATCTATAGCTAGCAAGTCAGTACTCAAGAGAGCTGGGGGAATTATCTCATTTGGATTGAAGCAATTAGGCAAAGGACGGGTTAATTGCTCACGGACTTTTCTAGTTCTGAGTCCTTTTGCGATCTTGGTTTCAGGAAGCATGTGCTTTCCTTAATTTCTCACAGCAATTGAGAGACATGCAGTTTGTACATAATGTCAGAAATGCAAACTAATGTATCTAAAACACATTACAGTTACACGTCTCCCATGTAATGGTGCATCTTTCTTCTCTTTTGTACTGCTATTTCTAGCAAAAACTTTTAGAGTTAAGCAGGAAAAGAAAATACAAGGCAGTTCCCCCCCCCCCTCTTCCATGCATTATTACAGGGAAGATGTATAGCTAAGCCAGATGGTCATGAAATGAACTGCCAAGAATCCTGATAACAACTCCCCCTTCAAATACTAGCATTGAGAGCAGCAGATCAAGTGTTACTGTTTTGTTGGTTATCATCACACTTCCTGCAGGAATATTTTGAATCCAGTAATATAGCTTTCAAATGTTTCCATTTCTTTACAATTAGTCTATTTTGTCCAGGGGTTATTTCAATGGAAAGATCAGGGTGGGGGTAGGGTGTGTGATATGTCCAATGCAGGAACATGTTTGTCTTCCTATTTCCATTTCAAATTTATGAAACTGAAATTGTGGACAATAGAATTAATAGTATTATTATTTCAAACATCCAAAATGCAGCACACAGCTTGCCCATCCAGAAATCCTTCTTCTTATTTCTGTATGTCTCCTCCAGATAAGCTTCTGAGTCAAACACTATATGATAGCTAATTCACTGAAAGAAATGTAATGAATCCCCAAAATTTCATTCGCTCCTTGTTCAGAAATTTCCTAGAAGATGGTTAATAACAAATCCCTTTTAATGCTAAGAAAATGGCTCAAGCTGTTTCCGGATGATCTAGAAATCTAAACAAAGAAATAAATAAACATTGCAGAGATCTTTCCATGAAACCACAAGAAATTGAATGGGACTAAAAGAAGATGATACCTTTATTTTTTATGATAAAGCCACCAGAATCACGTAACTTAATTATTCTGACTATTCTATGAGAAAATGTCCAGTAATTATTAGAAAAAAATTGAAAAAGAAATTGTGATCTTATCTAATGTCACAACCAGGAAGCAATTCCATGGGGAGCAGCATATTAGGCTGTGAAAATTCACTGACTTTGGGCATAATTTGGTAGATAACAATATACCACTTGCATTGAAGAATTCCCACCCATTCAGGCCAAAATCAAGCTTCATTTATTCTACAGCAGACACCAGAACTAAAAGAACACATTACATTTTACATTTTTTCCTACCACGGAAAAAATGTGAGAACACAAATCTGGCTCATTTGTGTGGTCCTGCTTCTCTGTGCCTCTAGCATGAGGTACTGACAGGTATTCTGCATCTGTCAGTGGATGATATGTTGCGCTTCCACTCATGTGCAGCATCTTTTCCAACACCCCAAATATGTCATTAATTAAAGTGAAATTACCTTGTAGTTCTCCATCATACACTGTTCAGCTGCATCACGTATATGAGACTAAATGATAATTAACTAAAGAGAAAAACAACTGGGGAAATTTGCCACTGTGTTATGCAGTAATAAAATAAATTCCCATACCTAATCTGTTAGATGGATTCCTCTTGAAAAGAGCTCGCAACAAACTCTGAGCTTCTATGCTCAAAAACTGTGGCATTCCTAGTTTGGCTCTGTAAAAAATAGGACATTTTAATGCAGGAATAAAAAACATTGTTTTCTTTAAAAAAAATTTACACATGTATGTAAATGATTAAATACTGTACATCACCAAAATATATAGAAGTCTCAAATGAACATTTAAACTTTCTATAAACCAGGTTTTGGGATAATATTATTAAACTTTTTAATTTAAATGTCTGTGCTACTTATTTATAGAGAATTTATTATCCCTTAAGATTGCAGCTATATATACTAAGTCATAATTCTTTCTGTTTGAGAGAGTTAGCAAATGGACTGTTCTCTCAGTCTTGTTTTTTGTGAAATTTACTTCTGATCCCTTGTTCTTTCAGCCATGCTATTTAAAATTTGGCAAATAAAAAAAACAAAATAAAAATCTTATATATGAACATTCACATGCATTTCTATGCATTTTTTTTAACATATGCACTTTTATGATGCATATTTTTATTTTTCATTTGCAACACTCAATTAATTGCAAAATTATGAACAATGAAGATATTGATGTGTGGATAGGAAGTTTACATAGTTAATTTGGCCCAGTTCATACTAAGTTTGTATGTGTGTGTTTATGGGTGTGCTCATATTCCTAATGGGAATAATGCTGGATTCGACAAGCAGCCTGAATATGGCACTCCCACATCTCACCTACTTGCAAGATGTTGGGCAATCAGAGCAATATACAGCTTGGAACAATCAGGTCTTTATTACATTGCAAAACAGTTTTTGATCCTTTTATAGTTAAATGAAAGATTGAAGGGCACAGTAACAAGTCTTCTCTGCATGTTAAAGAGTGAGCAAAGAGAGATTACTGGAACAGATTAACTTTGTTTAATGAGGTATGTGCTTAAGCAAGGCTTTTTTTCTCATAGAACGCCCAGAACAGAGTTCTGGCACCTTTTTTGGATGGAACCTTATAGGGTAGGCAAGGTGGGTTGTATGACATGTATGAGTTCCGGCACCTTTTTTTTTTTTTTTAAGAAAAAAAGCACTGTGCTTAAGTAACTGCACTGGAAAGGGAGTGCGGGTGGGGATGGAAGAAATTGGAATTTGAATTGGTCGTTTCCCAATTTAGGTAACAATCTTATATCCTTCCTTCCTTCCTTCCTTCCTTCCTTCCTTCCTTCCTTCCTTCCTTCCCTCCCTCCCTCCCTCCCTCACTCCCTCCCTCCTTTCCAAATGTGACTATACTACTGTAATCTAATAATTCTGCTAGATCACATTTCTTATCTATTTCTGCCAACATTAAGACTTCATATAGCTAGTCAATGAGCTCCTCACTAATGTTTTGAACACCCAGCTCATAATGCAATACATTATGCCTTAGATCAGGGCTTTTCAACCAGTGGTACGGGTACCACCTGTGGTACATTGGCACCTGGCAGGTGGTACGCGACCATCCTAGAAAAGTGGTAGCGGGAGAGGGGAATGAGCTGAACCAGTGGCAGCACCGCACAAGCCTGAGCGAGAGATGGCTGGAGCTGCAGGGCTGTCAGGGCTCAGCGGAAGCACCAGATCAGCACCAGGCTCCAGCTGGAACTCTGCGCTGATTCTGGCACTTCTGCTGAGCCCAGAAGAAGCGCCGATCAGCTGGAATGTTGCAGCATCTCCAGGGTCTTGTGATTTACATTCAGATGTATGCCAACGGATTCATATTTATGACAATCACAGTGTCCCAGGGTCATGTGACGTGACCAAAACCTGCTGCAACCACCCAACAGACAGGGGGAATAAAAACCAAACACCCCCCACCCCATCCCCGGTGCCAATCCTCAACAGAAATGCTCACAACAATGAAAACCTCTGACAGGAGGAAGAGCGCGGCTGGGCGGGCAGGCAGGTGTCTTGCTCGGCTGTGGCTTGGGGGGCACTTTGTTCAGTGCCATTGTAACTTCGAACAGTCACTAAGCGAACTGTTGTAAGTCGAGGACTACCTGTACTTTAGCATTTTATTCTGTTTTTTTGGGGGGGAGGGTCATCAAGTTTTTGACACCTTGCTAGGCGACTGGTGGTACTCGGATGTTGCCACATCCTAAAAGTGGTACAATGGGTGAAAAGGTTGAAAAGCCCTGTTCTACGAGACAATTTACATAACCCAAAAAGTTTATTCTGAGTTAAAGAATATAAACTATAGCTATAGATAGATATAAAGTTGGGAGTTTGCTACTCACTTGAGAATGAGTGCCATTGTTTCCTTTCGGTCTTTCCCCTGAAATGGTAGTGACCCTGTCAACATTTCAAACTGTAAAGAGGGAATAGAAATTCTAAGAAGCATGAAACAGTGTAAATATAAGCATAGCATATAGTCTATTGTATTTATCTTAACAATGTATAGTGCTCATCCATGCCCCATAAAAATTAGTACCCCCATTAATCCCATATGTGGAACATACATGAAGATAAGGAAGAATACCTTAACCTCCAACTTGTAGGCTATTATTTAAAAGATAATAATAAAAGACCAACCAAATTGGAAGGTCTTCTAGGTCAACCATCTGCTCAAGTAGGAGATCCTGTACCATTCTGGATAAATGGTTGTCCAATCTCTTAAAATCTTCCAGTGATAGAACACCCAAAACATTGGGAGACAAGCCATTCCACCAATTAATTTTCACAGTCAGGAAATTTTTTCTTAATTCTAGGTTGGATCTCTGTTTGTTAAGCTTCCATCTGTTACTTCTTGTCTTGCCCTCAAATGTATTGGAGAATATTGACCCCCTCCTTCTTGGTGACAGCCCCTCAAATATTGGAAGACTGCTATCATGTCTCTCCTAGTCCTTCTCTTTGTTAGACTAGATATTCCCAGTTCTCCCAACCATTCATCATATAGTTGAGCCTCCAGTCCCCTAATCATCTTTGTTGCTTTTCTCTGCACTTTTTCTAGAGTCTCAATATCTTAACCGATTCATAATAAATTCACTGGACTTTGGATGTAAATAGTAAGGTTGTTCTAACCTTATGATGATGTAATAATAAAACCATTCAATGAACACACAGTCAGGTGCTGTATTATACAGTGAAAATATTTTATGTACAAGTCCTGTGGAAATGTACAGAAATTACCTCAAAATGCATCATGCTAAAGTTCCCTGGATCTCATGACTGTCAGACAGCCAGTTGCGAAAGTAATGAATATGGAAAATTGAACAATCAAGTGTAGAAAACAATAAACAAGGAACTTATTATCCATCCACTTTATTAAATCTTTAAAAGAATAATTGAGAGGGAAAGAAATAAATGCTGCTGGTTGCCATAAATTAAACATGACATGAAGAATCCTGCTAGTTGGAGTAAGAATAGCCAGTATTTTAATTGAATTTAAATAATTCACAAGAAAACACATTCAGTAGAACGGTTAAGTCTGTGTTTCTGCTTAACTTCAAGATTCATACTGTATATGAACTTTTTCATGGCTGGGAACAGAATTGTTCATATGGGGCACTTATGTAAGAAGACTGATAAATGCCCTACAAATAGGTAGGATCAGAGTATTTGGTTGAATTTCTTTTCTTTTTAGTGGATTTTGAATTGAATTAAAATGCTATGCTTGCTTTTGTATGCTATGGTTTGGGTTTGATCCTTTCCTAAAAATGGAACACTATATTGATTTTCAATATAATGGCATCTGGTCCTGAGTCTTCAGGCATCCATTCCTGTTCTAATTTGTTGTACAAAAAGCAAATGATAAAATAGCATTCCAAGTGGAACATTGCCTGCAACAGAACTTTTGGGGAAAAGATGTTGCCTCTTTGAATCAGTACAAATTTTTAAATATCCTTTCAAACACTGCCACAAGCTATCCTTTCTTTGCCCACATTATTGCTCAAAGTATTTTTTTTTCTATTGATGTAATGTGGAAAACTTTCAATTGGTGACATGGAAATGTTTCTCTCTTTCACAAAAGAATATATCTCCTTCAAAGCCATAAAAAATGCTATGTACTTGAAACAGTAAAAGTAACTAGAAGTGGTAAAACAATGATTCCCAATTGGAGCCCACCAACTATGTTCAACTACAACTTCCATCAGCCCCATTAGCACTGCCTGTTTGGAAGGAAGGCACTTGTTCATCAAACAAATATACACCATGTTACAGAACATTATTCCTGACAAAGTTTGTTCCTCTTTTCTTTTTAGCCCTAAGACCACTCACCCATCTTTTAGACATTTTCCCCCCTTAAAATCAGTTTAAGCGTATCAATGGAATGCTAGCATCTGCTCCACTTTGATTAAAACAAATTATAATTAGATACTAAATCTAATTTAAGTAGCTCAGAGTACATCTTTCAGTTCCATTTCAATAAATGAAAGCAATAAAAGAGAAAACTACAGTCCTCAAGGAACAGTAATTCTAGATTTGTATTGATAGGTAATTTAAAAAAGCAGAATCAGAATGATGGCAAGAACAACCACACTAATTTAAAAAGCACTCTCATTTTTTTCTGTTGAACTAAAAAAAAGTCATTTATTTGATACAGCAAGTGGTCTGGATCCATTGTTGCAACTGTTTATGTTTCAAGGTTATGGGCTCCTTCGGACACTTTTATTTGTAATGAAATTAAGGAATTTTAATTTTATATATATATATAAAATTAGCCAATAAAGAATTCTATTCTATTCTATTCTATTCTATTCTATTCTATTCTATTCTATTCTATTCTATTCTCTACACCACACACACACACACACACACACACACACACCTCTTCTGTTCTTCCATTTCTGCATTTTCTCATTTTTATTATTTTACTTTTTTATTTTGGGTCTTTCCTTTTTAATTGTAACACTCAATAAAATTATTATTATTAAAAAAGGAAAATTTCAACGTTATTTTGGGAAATTTTTCTTAAAAGGATATGTACCTTCCACAAAAGTGTAGGATTTGTCAACAAAACCACTTAATATAGTGAAAGCTGATTGTTGGGGAGGGGGAGAGGGGGAGCAATGATCATTTTTTTAGTGGGATAATGAAAATGACATTTCTTTCAACATGCAAGATGTACCTGCCCATACAGAGTAATAGGAATTACCTGAGAAACATTTGCTAAAACGATTCTAGCTACTTTTGCATAATATTACTATGCAAAGTATTTGCTGATTTTTAAAGTTCAACTTACATTATAGATTGATTAAACCCATATAAGAAAAAAAAACATCATGACAGAGACTATGAAATCCATATGAGACCTAATTTTATGGGTATAAAAACACAAGCTTATATATCAATAGCAGATTAAGAACAGATTTTCTAAATCCAACCCGCATGTAGACCAAATAGACCTGAAAAATAAACGTTATCAGCAGAATCCCCAAAGCTTGCTGAGGTACAAAATATGGAAGGGGAGGGAGAGAGGAGAAAATAAACAGCTCAACAAAATCTAACCATCCTTAGTAATTATAGAAATCTGAATGTCATTAGGGGAGTAATATGAAACACACATGTACACCAAAAACAGTGTACTATAATATCCTATTGTATATCTATTGCTATAGACTAATCATCTCCCTTTTCAGAGGAGCAGGATGGAGAAGAGAAGACAAAAGTATGGAGAGAAAAGAGAAAGGTGAAAGAGGGTTTCTTTGTCAAGGAAAAATAAGAGAGATAACATTATGAACTGTTGTGGTGAGTGATTAGAATGCAGCATTGCAGGCTAACTCTGCCAACTGCCAGAAGTTCAATCCTGACCAGCTCCAGGTTGACTCAGCCATCCATTCTTCCAAGGTAGTAAAATGAGGACCCAGATGGTTGGGGGCAATATGCTCTGTAAACCACTTAGAGAGGGCTGTAAAACACTGTGAAGTGGTGTATAAGTCTAACTGCTAAGTGCTTTCTCCCTCATTTCTATATGCAAGAGAAAAGAAGAATATGCAATAGTCTACAACCCAAGGTGAGGAATGTAAAATACAGTATCAGCAAAAAAAAAAAAGCTTCAGTGGGAGTCAAAGCCCAGATCTTGAAATAGTAAAGCAATGCCAAGGTCTAATAAGAAAGTTCAGTCAGATTCTGGGCATGCTGGTGCAAGGGAAAGATGGAACTGATGTTTTTCTTCAACTTTTATTACCTTTTGCTCAAAAGTGTAGGCATAACTGTCAAGCTCCACATGGTTGGCAAGACCAAAGAAGCAAGAGCAGTATGGATTTCAGGAACCTATCTTCCAAATACCCAAACTTGGCTCTAGAAAGAGAACAGCATACTACTAGGGAGAAGTTCCTCAAAGCCTTGGACTGCTGGATTACTCCTGTCTTTAGTGCACTACTTGGTACCAGATGTGTGGGATCCAAAAGGCAGAAGGACGTGGCTCTTCCTTGCTGGTTCTGAAAAGCCCTCTCCAGTCTCCCAGAGTTTCTTCTGCTCCTAGGAGGAAAATTCATCTGAGGAGATCGTGACACTTCTCATTAGAAGCTGCACGCCATACCACTAAGTATTACATTTCAGTCCTATTCTACCTTATGATTAGCAGGAATTGAATGCTAACATTTCTGAAAGGTAACAGCTTAAGGCAGGCAGGCAGGCAGGGAGGGAGGGAGGTGTAAAAAAAAAATCAAGATGGTGGCTGTGATTTAGGCACATAAGCCAGGGTCAGGCTTCAATTGCGGTCATGACTGCAATCATTTTCTTGCCTTTTTTTAAAAAAACCATGCCTGCTAGACATTTCAGGTAGGCCTGAATAAAAAGCAAACCCTGCAGAATTCCAGAAATATTTATTATTGGGGTAGAATTTAATAACAGAATCTTGAAAGTCAGTGCAAGTTTCCCTGTTTCCTCCTTTATACTGAACGCAATTAAGATGAATTTCTTTCCCATGCTTCCTTCTGTCTTTAGATTGTGTACTCTCTTGTCTAAGTCCCTGCTTAAGTGGCTTGCTCGTATCAGCTTTAAATTCCTTTACAACCTCTTTGTGTAGATTCTTTTGGCTTGAGCTAAAACCTTCTTCATGTGAGGAAATGATTCTACTTAAGGATGAACCTGTCTGTCTGTCACATATCTGGCATTTCCTGTAGCTCCAGAAATAATATAGATATAATGGTTGCAGTTTCTATAATCTGGCATCAGATGCTGTCTGACGTTTTACTTCCATAAAAAGAAGCCAACTATTGTTTGAGGCTGTAGATGTTGCCTTGAATAATGGCTCCATCACAGTTCAGAGGATGAAAGAGAATGAATGAAATTTTTATGGGGACAGGGGACTAAATGCATAAATTATACATTGTCCGGCAGAGTCCTAAAAGGCATTTAAGGATGTGCACGACAGAGAGGTATTAAAGAAAAGAAGCTTCTAGACATTATGGAAGACAGGCCTTTTAATTAAATGTTCATTAAGGCTTCATAAGGATGCTTTATTATGACTGTCCCACCTTAAAAAACTGGGATAAAAATGTTATTAATTGGCTACTATAACTGATAGGAACTTGTGAATGCTGAGAAGTAGGCTGTTGGTTTTCTGGTTAAACACATATGAATGAATGAGTGCTATTGAATATATTTTTTATAGTGATCCTTAGGTTAGACCATGGGTTTGCCTAGTCCATTAATGCCAACTAATAGTGATTCTTCAGCACTTTGTATAGTCATTTTTTTCAAGTCTAATATAATGATACGAGGAGAAAGACCACATTAGGAGGACGAGGTGGGACATGATAGCAGTGTTCCAATATCTCAGGGGCTACCACAAAGAAGAGGGAGTCAAGCTATTCTCCAAGGCGCCTGAAGGCAGGACAAGAAGCAACGGATGGAAACTGATCAAGGAGAGAAGCAACCTAGAACTAAGGAGAAACTTCCTGACAATTAGAACAATTAAGCAATGGAACAACCTGCCTCCAGAAGCTGTGAATGCTCCAATACTGCAAGTTTTTAAGAAGAGACTGGACAGCCATTTGTCCGAAATGGTGTAGGGTTACTGCCTGAGCAGGGGGTTGGACTCGATGACCTCCAAGGTCCCTTCCAACTTTATTATTATTATTACCTTCTGCATGAAAATCCATGTAATCTAACATTGAACCAAACCTTGATCATAAACACACCCTCCTTTGGCTAGCCTCAGCTTCAGAAACAGAGGACATAACCTCACAATGAAGTGAGAAATTTTAAAAATGGTCAACTCATGACGAATTGAACCACTTTCAGCTGCACCAGACTGTAAGTAGCCCAGGCTACATCCAGTTGCTCCCTTACATCTTTGCCTTCCAATTGGTCTCTTTTGATCTTCTTCTGGTAAGGCTCCAATGCCCAAATACTTGCATTTCCAGTTCTTCTATCAAGAACTTTCAGTTTCTGAATGACTGGTTAGCCACTTCATAATCCTTAAATTTCCCTCTCTTTCGACCACTGTTTTTTAAAATTAATTTAACTGTCTATAAAATAAAGCTCTCTTGTCTCCTAGCAGCAGCAGGAGAAGCAGAGATGCTTGTGCTCTCCTATTCCAAATAGGATTAGATGTAAAAAAAAAAAAAAAGATGTGATTATACAGTTTCGGAAGTGCACAAACCATCAACAGAAGAGGGCACAGTGGAAAAAGTACAAGAAAAACTGAGCCACAATATAAAAAGTTGAGAGCTGGGGAAAAATGAACTGATAAGCCTAACTCATTGGCAAAAGAATTAGTATCAAGATGGGCAGGGCAGGGAGTACCAGGGTGCAAAGAAAGGTCTGTAAGAACAGATTAGGAACAATTCTCATCTCTGAGACAAGCACATCATACTGAACTATGAAAGCAGCCATTATTATTTAGTTCACCAACAAAGCTGACACCAACCAGAGCATAGAAAAACTCAAAAAAATAGTGCAAGATCAGAAGATGTGGAGTTACACAGCCCATAGAATTGCCAAGAGTCAGACCCAACTGAATGGATATCATCATCATCATCATCATCTATGTACAGATTCATTTTTTCCCTAAATATTTCTTAAACAGGGCTAACACAATGTGGAGACTCAGTTTATGGTTCACTCTGTAGCAATCCTATGTGGAAGAAAAAGAAGGCAACACAGCATTCGGCCTTGTGTGACATATCGAGTGACTCAGTGAAACCTGTCTAGGGCAAAGAAAGTAAATACTGTAACTGGAATTAAAGGAAAGTAAAAAGTCTGGTAAAAATCTTATTTAATATATTATTCTAAATTAATGAACAAACATTTTGTTTTGGCAATAGCTAGTTACCAAGATGTTCAAATGACAGGAATGAAAACCGTAGCAGTCTGGCTTTTACAACGTCCTGCATACTACTTTTAGCACCAATGAATTACTGTACTGGTGATTTCACAGATGTGAATGCTTCAGTAGGCACATCCTGATAGAACATTGGCTACTCCTACAGAAGGATATATCTTCGGCTATGCAAGATTAAATACCAAAGCAACAAGATTCAGGAAGAAACTACAAACTACAAAAAAAAAAAAAAAAAAAAAACGCCTAGAAGGTTGATGGCAGCTTTTCATTCAGGATAAAGAATGCCCATCGTGCCCTTGGAGACAGCATTGTCTGGTACCTCCCAAATTACCCACACAACTGTGAAAAACTGTGCAAATTACACGCAGTACATGAGTTAAATTACATCAATTGTATAATTATGGTCTGAAAAGTCATGAATATCTGGACTACAGGAGCTGTAAGGGCTGAAATCACATTTTAAGACAAAAGAGGACTGATGTTAACACAATACAGGAAATGGCTCTAAACATCTGCAGTCAATTTTTACTCCACATTTATATTTAGATACGGATATCCAGCTTGCAGTTTTGCATGAAATGGACTCTGGATTTAATCCTGAGTGCTTTCACTTGAAAGAATTCCTAGGGTGTGTAAAAAGTTCTACTTAAGACTTTGCCTCCTACAGTATGCCATACTGAGCTGGAAGAACGAATATCCTGATCACTTTTTTAGAAATAATAATAATAATAATAATAATAATAATAATAATAATAATAATAATAATAATAATAATAATAATAGTAATGAACAGAATAGAGGCATGGGAAGACAAAGCACTACATGGCCAATACATTAAAAAAATAGCTGGGAAAGCAGATAATAACAAGACCTGGCAATGGCTAAGAGCAGGAAAATTGAAGAAAGAGACCGAGGGACTAATTCTGGCTGCACAAGACCAAGCCTTAAGGACAAATGCATACGAAGTCAAAATTGAGAAGACAGCAACAGACAGTAAGTGCCGCCTATGCAAAGAAGCTGAAGAAACAGTGAACCACTTGGTAAGCTGTTGCAAGAAGATTGCACAGACTGACTACAAGCAGCAGCATGACAAAGTAACAACAATGGTGCATTGGAAGATCTGCAAAAAATATCATTTGCCTGTAAACAAAAACTGGTGGGATCATAAAATACAGATAGCCGTAGAAAATGATAAAATTAAAACTGCTATGGGACTTCAGAATTCAAACAGACAAGCACCTGCAACATAAAACCCCAGACTTAACAATTGTCGATAAGAAAGACAAAAAAGTCTGGATAGTGGACGTGGCAGTGCCTGGAGACAGCAGAATAGACGAGAAAGAACTGGAGAAGATAACAAAATACAAAACCTACAAATAGAAATAGAAAGATTGTGGCAAAAGCAAGCAAGGGTAGTACCAATAGTCATAGGCACCTTGGGTGCAATCCCAAAACAACTGGAGCACCACTTGAACACCACTGGCATTGACAAATTCGCTATTAGTCAATTGCAAAAGGCGTCCTTACTAGGAACTGCTTCCATCCTGCGACGATACCTGTAATACCATCAAACATCCACATCTGCCTATCCCAGGTCCCGGGTAAGGACTCGATAGGTAGACAAAATGCCAAATCCAGTCTGAACATCTGGTTGACTGTGCGATGATCAATAATAATAATAATAATAATAATAATAATAACAACAACAACAACAACATCTGGCTGACTGTGCGATGATCCATAATAATAATAATAATAATAATAATAATGTTGGAAGGGACCTTGAAGGTCATCTAGTCCAACCCCCTGCTCAGGCAGGAAACCCTATACCATTTCAGACAAATGGCTGTCCAGTCTCTTCTTAAAAACTTCCAGTGTTGGAGTATTCACCACTTCTGGAGGCAGGTTGTTCCACTGGTTAATTGTTCTAACTCTCAGGAAGTTTCTCCTTAGTTCTAGGTTGCTTCTCTCCTTGATTAGTTTCCATTCGTTGCTTCTTGTCCTGCCTTCAGGCACCTTGGAAAATAGCTTGACTCCCTCTTCTTTGTGGCAGCCCTGAGATACTGGAACACTGCTATCATGTCCCCCCTCATCCTTCTCTTCATTAAACTAGACATACCCAATTCCAGTAGCCATTCCTTATATGCTTTAATAGGACTGAACCCAGAATTAATCATCCTCAAACACACAATCATTGGAATCAATGGATCCAAACAAAGTCTTGATCTAATCCATAGTGGTGATAAAACTGAGGGGAGTCCTGTAAACGCAAAACATTCAAGCTCTTAAATATCCTCCTCATAAAGAGCTTACATTCTCATATCGATGTGTCAAACAATTAGTGAATTACAAAAAAATTCTCCCCTTACCATTAGGACACCGAAGGACCACCAATCTGCACTCTGGGTGTGTCCTCGCCGGTTGACCACCTCTGGAGCCATGTATTCTATTGTCCCACAAAATGAATAAGCTCTCTTGTCATGGTCAATAGCTTCCTTGCTCAGGCCAAAATCTTTAAAAAATGAATATATTATATAGCATTAGTTATCATGCATATCCAAATAAAGTGCAGGTAGTCCTCAACTTGCAACTACAATTGAGCCCAAAATTTCCACTGCTAAGCAAGACAGTCGTTAAATGAGCTTTTTCTCATTTTATGAACCTTGTTTTGCCATCTTTTGTTAAGTGAATCGCTATAGTGTTTAAGTGAGTAACAGGGCTGTTATGTGAATCTGGCTTCCTCATTGCCTTTGCTTGTCAGAAGGTTGCAAAAGGCGATCACATAAACCCGGGGACATTGTAACAGTCATAAATACATGTCAGTTGCCAAGCATTCCAATTCTGATCACGTGACCACGGGGATGCTGCAATAGACTTAACTGTGAAAAACAGACATAAGTCACTTTCTCGGTGCCATCGCAACTTTGAACTGTCACTAAACAAAAGTAAGACAAGGACTACCTGTATTTGTGCACCAAAAGTACATCTATCCATAATTATCTATTTCATGCTCAGTTTTGGATTTCAACTCACATCAGTCCGATATATTCCCAGGACTAAACACTGACTATGTCTTCCTAAGCGAACAGCTCTCCTGAACCTGCACTTTTTTCTGGTTGCAGGTTACTCAGATGAGTATTTTCTATTCACCATTTCAGAATGTTGTTGGGCACATCGATATCGTGGCTGCTTCACACTGCTAGGAGTGTTAAAATTAAAGCAGCAATGAGGTATACTTCATAATGAGCCTGCGGTCCTGATGGCAACCCAAATCTGTTAGGTGCTCTGATATATGATAGATAACACAGATACAGCTGCAGTAGAAAGGTGATCCTTACCTGTAATCTTAATGTGTCCTTCTTCATCTAGAAGAATGCTAGAAGACAATGTAATGAAAAGTTATATTAAACCAAGGCAGACAATGTCATTGATGCCTAGAACTTTAACTTAACTGTCTGCAATGAAAAACAACATTCTTGATTTTTCTCCTATATGTAGAGATGCATTCTTCAGATTTGTTTATATTCATCCATTATGAAGCAAAGAAGAGATACATAATTCCCCCATCTAAAGATTTGTTGCTTGAAAAAGACTGCCTAAATAAAAGAAAACAGTCTCTTTTTTTTAGAGTTATCTTTTGTCGTAAAAAGTACAGGTAGTCCTCAACTTACAACAGCTCATTTAGTGACCGTTCAAAGTTACAACAGCACTGAAAAATGTGACTTATGAGAGTTTTTCACAGTTGCGACCTTTGCAGCATCCCCATGATCACATGATCAAAATTCAGATGCTTGGCAACTGGTTCATACTTATGACTGTTGCTGTATCTCAAGGTCATGTGATCCCCTTTTGCGACCTTGTGACAAGCAAAGTCAATGGGGAAGCCAGATTCACTTAGCAACTGGGTTACTAACTTACCAACTGCAGTGATTCACTTAGCATCTGTGGTAAGAAAGATCGTAAAATGGGGAAAAACTCACTTAGCAAATGTCTCGTTTAACAACAGAAATTTCGAGCTCAATTGTGGTCGTAAGTCAAGGACTACCTACTTAGAAGGAAGTGGTCTTTTGTAAAACTTTGGCAGGCTGAAAAGAGACTGTCACTGTTTGTAAATGAATAATCAACACTAACAGACTATTGTCACTACTATTATTTAATAAATACTCTTTTGTCCTTTATGTGTTGCTTTTTAAGAAATCTTGCTTCCTTGATTATTGGTTGTATACCAATAATGATTGCATCACTTGCTTCTCAATAACACTATATTTAAGAAAACAATCCAATTCTGTAATTCCTTGATCTACAGATAATTCAGAGGATACCAACAGCACTTTGATCCTTCTGTAAGAAAGAGACAGTGTTCTTTTTTTTCTAATGTTTATCGACCTTTCTATTTTTTTTTCCTTAAAGAGGAAGTGATGTAGTCATTGGTAATTTAAATGATGCTCAGGCAATGGAAAAGCAACATATTAAAGGTATTTACTGAAAAGTTGTCAGCATGGACAGAAAATGAAGTCAAAAGTATGGGCTATAACAGTGATGGTGAGCCTTTTAGAGACTGCGTGCCCAAACTGCAACCCAAAACCCACTTATGTATCACTGGGTGCCAGGTGCGCATGGCCCATTGGGTGGGTGTGGCCCATTGGGTGGGTGTGGCCAAATGAGTAGGCGTGGCTGCGATGGTAACGGCAGACTGGGTGGGACTAAAAAGTTCAATCAATCAATTCCAACTTTGTGAGATCTTTTTTTTCCCATGAGAAGTTGAAATTGATTGATTGATTGAACCTTTTTTTTTTTTTGCACATGGCGGCAGAGGTCTAAAGCGAAAAGGTTTTATAAAAAAAAGCTGAAGGCCAAGGACTGGGGCGATGATGCATGTGCCCACAGAGAGGACTCTGTGTGCCACCTGTGGCATGTGTGCCATAGGTTCGCCACCATGGGGCTATAACAAACATGGGAAGAACATGATGAGCTTTCTATCCTGGACATATCCCTTTTCAAGACAGCAGTCTGAGTGCTGAGGATAATGACTAATTTTTAATAGCAATAGCATTTAGACTTATATACTGCTTCATAGTGCTTTACAGCCCTCTCTAAGTGGTTTACAGAATCAGCCCATTGTCCCCAACAGTCTGGGTCCTCATTTTATCGACCCCAGAAGGATGGAAGGCCAAGTCAATCTTGAGTTGGTGAGATTCAAACTGCCAAAATGCTGGCAATCCAGAATCAGCAGGATTAGCCTGCAATACTGCGTTCTAACTACTGCGCCACCACCGCTCATGGAATGCATTTCTTAAGATTAGTATGTCTCATAACAATTGACAATATGCTCATGTTTTTACAGAACCTGCCCCTGAAATAATCCCCTCTACAAGAAATATACTAATCGTTTAGACCAGTGGTCGGCAACCTTGGTTCTTTTATGACTCGTGGACTTCAACTCCCAGAATTCCTGAGCCAGCCATGGTGGCTCAGGAATTCTGGGAGTTGAAGTACACGAGTCATAAAAGAGTCGAGGTTGCCTACCCCTGGTTTAGACTCCTGAAGCAAAAGTGAAGTTGAGCTTCCACAGGTTTCAATAATCTCTCTCTGATTATCTAACTTACTCTTGATCAGATGATTCAATATATTTATGAAATATATGAATGTATAATATATGAAACATCTTACTTGACTAAGAAGTATTGGTATATTGCCTACCAATCATTTGTAAATACTTACATGTTCTTTTTCGCTTTTGTTCTTAATACACTAAAAATACACTGTTTGCCGCTGAGGCTGGAGATGTCACCTCATTTTTTTTTTTTTTGCTTGTTTGGGGGCATTCAGCCTGTTCATTTTGGGCTAGGCAATTTATGAGGTGTAATGATGATTAGGTCTTACATAATTTCATGTACATTTTGTGGCAGCAACAAAATAACTTTATTTAAACTAATGCGTTTCAGTATTAACTTACTTTTCTGGTTTCAAATCTCTGTATATAATACCCAGACCATGAAGATGATCTAAAGCCAAGGCCAGCTCAGCTAAATAGAACTTAACATCTTCTTCTGTAAACATTACCTGGAAACAGAAAATAGCAAAGAGTGCATAATATACAAGAGATTTATTTATATGGACTTAAGTCTTATTTAAAGGGAACCACTAAAATCAGTATAATTTAGAATGGTCACAACTTAGGATCAACTAATTTCAAGGCTAACTTTAGATTAACCCTATGGATTTTTTAAAAGAAACAATGAGAAATCATAACTTCAATAAACAGAGCAGAAGCAATTTAGAATTAGAAGGAATTAAATTAGGTGGAGGGTTCATAGCAAAGTAATAAGCAATGAAATAGATGTGATATCTACAGATAAAGCTGGACAAATTTCTGCCTGAAACTGTGAATGGCTACTACTAGTCACCATTGGCAATATTAGGCTAAATAGAATGATCTTAAACCCATCTAGAGAGGAATTTGGCATTGTACCCTGTTTCATACACAAAACAAAAAATGCCACTTATCCTATCACTGACTGCATTATGCCCCTTTTAAACTTTACTCAGTAAGTTTACTGTTAATATATAATAGCTTCAAAGATTGAGAAAACAAAACCGAAATAGATTTGATTCTGTTTTCTCCAAGCCAACAGAAATCAGTTTTCACAACATGATCAGCAAAATGCCCCGCAAAATAAATTAATCTGCTTAACCATTCATAAGATTGCATTTGCTATCCTTCCAATTTTTGAAAAAAATTACAGGGGAAGTCATCTAAATATGGATAAAAAGCTAAACAAATTTCAAGACACCTCAATGAATAAGTCATCCTTCCCTTTCAAAATAAACATGCAGTTTGCCTTCTCCTCTTTAGAAAACCATTATTCTGAGTTTCATAGTGCTTTATTTTTTGGTATTACAATTATCTGTGGATAATCCTTACGTTAAAACAAAAAGGATCTTGGCTGGTTTTCCATTCCCTCAAAGAACAATTCCAAGATATATAGTATATAGGAAGCAGCCAGCAAGGATCAACTGAAAAGAATATTCTGTTTAGGTTTCATCAGGTACCCTTTGCTTTTTTATAGAAAAATAAAGTTGATAGGGTGCATTTAAGGAATAACTACAGGATGACTGTGTCTTATTCTTTGATGATCTCAGTTTCCAAGGAGATTGAAAACCACATGAAGAAAAACAGCAGGCAGTTCCACTGTGGTCAGAGAAAAGGCATCCAGGAAGAGACTTTTAAAGTCCATCTGCTCAAAGGTAATGACAACACCCATTTGGTATTGGCACAACTGCTTAGAAAGTAATAAGAGCTGAGTAATCACTGTAGTTTATCCAGACTGAAAACTCTGAAAAGCCACATAGGTGAGAAAAAGGTGACTATATTATTATTATCGGTAATAGTAGGTGTGGCAATACAGTTGTGGGAAGAATCCAGAGAAAGAAATATTTTGTGGGATATTAAAAAGGCAGAATGTATTTCTTAAAGGATCTTAAAGGCAGAAAAGCAAGCCCAGTTTTTCTTAATAGCCCCAAGCAGAAACTAGGCAGAGGCCAGCTTTTAGAAATGCAGATGTAATAATCCATTCAGGAAAGTTAGAGCCAGGAAACTTGAAGCTGATGAAATTAGGAAGACAAAGACCCCTAAAATCTATATACCCCTACCCAAATTCTAAGGACAGAAAACATAATAGGATTAACTCACCATTATCAAAAGGACACACTCAGACTCAGGTCAAAGTACATGATACAGGAAATACAAAGCCTCAAATAGGAACAACTCCAAACACAAAAGCCCAGGAAGGTATAAAAACCCACTACTCCCAGCCATATGTGGTCAGCTTTCCCAGAGCCATGCTTCTGTCTGGCTTTGCTGTTCAATAAACTACAACTTTTTTTCTAAAGCAGTCTCCATTTTGTTTATTCCATGCTTGGACTGGACTCTGATGAAAATTTTTCTTTCAACACAGTGATAGTGAAAAGTGACAGCCTTGATATATTTAACCCAATGTCTACTGGTGGATTTATATCATTTTTCTTTCCCAGCAAAGAATAATGAGAAAGTCACTAGAAGCAGATTGATTGGCTACTAATCACCTGTGGCTGAAAGCTCAAGTGGACAGTTACTTCATTCGGAATACAGTAGACTAGCATGTGGTATACAGCCACTAAAACATCACTTCCCAGTACATGGGAAAACTGAAACTCTTTCCCATGAAATATTCTCACAAGTCAGCATTTAGAAGGCATAGAAAGAATACCATGAAATCACTAGAGAAGGAGGGTTGGACAGAAAGAAAGGTCAGAGACGACTTATCTGTGTGCACTAAAACACAGGTACGACTTACGAACATTCATTTAGTGACTGCTCCAAGTTACAATGGTGCTGAAAAAAGTAACTTATGATCAGTCCTCACACAACCAACTGCAGGTTCCCCACGGTTAAGTGATCAGAATTCAGACATTTGGCAACCTGCGTGTATTTATGGCAGCTGCAGTGTTCTGCGGTCACGTGATCACCATTTGTGACCTTCCCAGCTGGTTTTCAACAAGCAAAATCAATGGGGGAATCACTTAATGACCATATAATTCACTTAATGATCATGGTGATCCACTAAAGACCACAATAAAAAAGGTCATAAAGTTGACTGCCACTCGCTTAACAACCACCTGACTTAATGACGTATATTCTGGCCCCAACTGTAGTTGTAACTTGAGGACTACCCATAGAAATTAAGATACAAAAATAGCCACCAAATAGCTAAAACATAGTCAACAGACAGAAAGGGAAGCAGCAGGAGGTAGAATTAATACCAAGTCAAAATACAAATATAATATTCCTGAAAATTAAGCCCAACTGAATTCTATGGGATTTATTTTTCACTAGACATATATAAAATTGCATTCTGAAACATTATGTTTCAAAAAGAATAATTTGTCTGTTTTGCCCGGTGGAACAAATAATGTTTTTCCAACACAAACCAGAGCTAAATCTAAAATGTTAGACTGGTATCATCATCAGTAAAGCACTACTTTTTGAACTGTTAAAAAGACATACATTGTTTTCAAGGTTTGATCAGCCATCCAGAAGCTGCTATAGTCTGTCTCTCTATATGCATGTGCATGTAGGGACACTTTGAGGCACACTGGAAGGGAGAGAGTTGGGAACAGCTTCTGCAGCAGCCCTATCACCTTTGCAAATGACATGGATGCTTGAAAATGCAAAAACAGGTGCTTCTGCATGTTGAAAGGTGTCTCTTTTGAATACTTTGCAAAGCCCTACAGATTATAACATGAAAAGGAGAAGAGAAGCATGGGGTTGTTTTTGTCTATGGCACATGGCAAGGTATATTTCAAGAGAAAACGTGTTTGGATGCTAGAAGAAATACATGGTTATGATTGATGGCTGGCCAGTTCCAAGAAATCAAGTGAATGCCATCTCTGTTGCCAGCAAACGGTTAGCAGAAGGCCTTCTTCCTCCTCTTCCCAGCTGTTCTATTATTCTTCAGATGGTGCTTTAATCACTAGTCACATTCTGGGATGGCTGGCCAAGTTTTTCTGAGTCTTTATAGTGCGTCGCCCCCAGGGCTGATAGAAACAAGAAGAGTGGAGAATGCATTCTGGATTGTATAAGCAAAATTTGACACAGCAGTCATTTCCTTATAATCTCAGCCTGCTATTTACTAGCTACTTTTACAACTTTTGGGTGATCCTCATCTCTTGGGAACTTCTGCTTTTAGAATGATCAAGAGGATGACTTGTCACCTATTGTTCAAAGCAACTGGGCAGGAAGAAAGGAAAGCAGAATTCAAAGAGTGCAGCTTTATTATCACTCCATCTTGCATAGATTATTCCAAAATCCATAATTATATAATAGCTTTAATAGCACTGATCAAAATGCCAGAAAGTCCTGTATTTTTTTGTAATTGCTCCAGATTATAATAAGAATTGCCAAATTTTGATTGTGGGGAATATGTGTGGGTAAGGGCATGGACTGACTGAATGGGACTAATAGTACAAAATGGGAAGATGTGAGTGTGTCATGTGTGTTAGCAGGGCTGGGATCTTCCAGGAATTTTCCTGATTCTGAGGAGTGGCTATGCTTTTGCTTTGTTTTTATAATTATGTTAAATCAGTTTCAAAGCTTCCATTTGAATCTCTTTATTTCCTGCCTCAAAATGCTAGAAACAATTTTCAGCAGTACTGTTATTGCTGCTAACATTTGGCAATGGAATCAAAGGGAATTCTGGCAAGCACACACACACACAAAAAGAGTTCAGGGGATACAGGCAGGTGTCCACCTGCAGGTTGCTGAGCCATGGATTAGGTGATACTGAAAATAGGAAATGGGAAAGAAGGAAGTTCCAAATTGGACCAGGTTCACAGCCATGACTTTTAAATCCAGTCTCAAAATAGAGAAGGTAGACAAATTAGTTTCTACAAGTGGTTGTTGGTAATATCAGAGGACAGCTAGGTCAAAGAAACACTGGTCCTGTTTCTGAAAGATATAACATTTGACTTTATCCCAGATTGTAAAACACAATTGGCAGGAAAATCGACTTGGTTCACTTATAAAGATTTGATTAAAGCAGTTTTCTTTACCTGGGTATTTTCCAGATAGGTTGCACTCAACTCACAAAACTGTTAAGATATAATGAACTGCACTAAAAAGGGCTTACATAAAAATGAAGTGCCAAATTTGCACATCATAAACAAACGAGAAACTATAAAAATGGATTCTGCTATGAAGGAACACAGAGACAGCTGTTTATTATTTTGCTTTGTTTTTAACCATCAACATTTAGCTTATTGGTCTTACCTCTTTCGAAAGTCTGGTAAAAAGGTCCCCTCCTCGCAGGAAATCTAGTATGAGATACAGTTTTCCTTCTGTTTGAAATGCTGCAGTGAAGAAAGTGATAATGCTGAGTTTTTAATAACAATACTCTACACAGATTGCAATTGAGTGTGCTTGGATGCAGCTAATCATCTAATCGTTATTATGCATAATTCTAATAAGATGGGTTCAAACATTGCACCTAACAATTTTTTTTTTCTTCCGTTCAATGGTGATTTTCAGACACTGCCTGGACAAGATTTCTTGGCAAGGTTTTGCAGAAGTGGTTTGCCACTGCCTTCTTCCTAGGCGAAGAGAAAAATGATACAGGTAATCCTCAACTTTCAACCCTTTGTTTAGTGACTGCTTGAAGTTACAACAGCACTGAAAAAAAAAATGACTTACGCCTGATTTTCACATTTATGACCTATTGCAGCATCCCCATGGTCACATGATCAAAATTTAGGCACTTGGCAACCGGCATGTATTTATGATGTTTGCAATGTCCTGGGGTCATGTGATCTTGCCATTTGTGACCTCCCCAGGTGATTTCTGACAAGCAAAGTCAACGGGGCATCCCAGATTTGCTTAACAATTGCAGTCATTCACTTAATAACTGTTGCAAAAGTTATAAAATGGGGCACAACTTATTTAGCAACCGTCTTGCTTAGCAATGGAAACTTGGGACTCAGTTTTGGTTATAAGTTGAGGATTACCTGTCAAATACTGTCCAGCTGACTTCGTGCCTAAGGCAGAACTAAAACTCATGACCTGCTATTTTCTAGGCTGATACCATTACATCAAACTGGCGCTGGCTCTTTATTTTAACTATGGATTTTTGAACAAACCATCATAGGGGGCTTTACATATAAAATTAAGCTTTGTCATCATAGATGACAAAACATAATGCCTGGTTTAATGGTTAATGATTTTGAACAGTACAGGATGATATATCCAGTTGAAAATGCCCATGCGAATTCTATATTAGAGAAATCTTACCATAATGAAGTTTTACAATGAAAGGATGATTCACTTCAGCCAAAATGTCTCTTTCCATTTTTGACCGTACGCGATCTCGGACTACAGAAAAAAAATAAAATAAAGATATCTTCAGATGTAAGAGTCTCGCCTTGCGATTTTTGTGGGCTGTATGGCTTGCCACTTAATGGAGCATCATGAGCAAAAGAAGATATGTGTTTTGCATACATCCAGAATTTTTGCAGGATTAATATTAGCTGCTATTGCTGGACAGAGTGGAGACAAGCCACTTGATGCTCTAGTGTCAGAAGAACAAAGTTGTCACTACTTTTTGTAAATATGTGCAATATATACATACAGAACATTATTTGTTGCTAGACATGTCCCTTACAGCAATGATACTATTAGAACAGTAATCTTTCCCACTCTTTAAGTTGATACGTTAATTGTCTAAAATGAGCTAAGAACAGCTTTTAAAATGAGATATCCACTCAGCTAAAGAGAAATGGCCATGAAATACTAAAATATCACTTTGCATTTTAAATACAGATGGGAAAAAAAGAGAAATGGAACTTTTGAGCTAATCACTCTCTGGAGATCTATGGACTTTCAGCATGTCTACTCAGGAATAAGCCTTGCAGAGATGAAGATTTCATGAGTTGCAATCTAATTGGAGTAAACCATTTGATACAGTTATGTCTTACTTTAGAATAATATATAAAATAAGTATTAACTCTGCTATACTTCTTCATCTAAAAGAAATAATGAACACATGGTTTCTGGAATTCTCATTGCCTGGGGAAACAGGAATATATAATGACATTAAATCATATCAAAAGGTACCAGCTGGAGGTCACTTCTAAATATATTTGAGTATGCTTTCTGATCTAATGTTATTGGACAGGATGACTCATGGAGCATAATTTCCTGGATACAGTCTTGATAAAAACATTGGACTTTCCAAACAATTAGTAGAAATGAAAACTCAAAAACTCGGGCAGAGGAGATGAATTTTATTTTTTTGTGAAGAGGGACAGAAATATAATTAGGGAGCATCTTCTGGGTTCAAAATAATTTTATAAAATGACAAGAAGATGCATCACAATAGTGACTAACTGTATTTCATATCAATTTGTCATGCTGTAGTTATTAGATTATGTCACATGATCCCAGATAAGCTATCGGTGTCTTGATCCAAATTTGAATGGAGTTGCGTGTGCAGTATTTATCTTATTAAGTACCTTCTTTTAATTATTTCCTAAACATACTACAAAATAACAATATTTAACTCAGCCAACAGTGGTGCACATGTCTATGAATTTGAATATGGGTTTGGGAAATCCTGCAGCCCAGCTTTAATTTTCTTTTTTTTTTTCCTTGAGGTCTGGGGGAATTCTCCCTTTGTCCTTTTCATTTCGTAGGAATGAAAGCATGAGATCCCATAAGCTGAAATCTCTTCATGAATTGCTACAGTCATAACCATAAAGGAACTTCTTCAGAAATTGCCAGAGACTGAAGCGTATTAGTTGGAGACCTGAAAGCAGAGCACATAAATGTGTTCCTGCATTTGTCACAATACGTAAGCACCTAACAGCATGTATCTAAGTCTGTCCTTTCTTCAATAAGAAGAATAAGAAACTATTGAAAAGCTTTTTGCTGCCTGTTATTTCAAAGGCAATTATAAATGATTGCAAGGAAGATGTCGATTCCTTTTTGAGAGAGTGCTATCCACTTTGAAAGAAACTATGTAGACTACTAGAAATGTAACCTGAAGCTAGATCAGTGATTCTCAACCTTTCTAATGCCGTTACCCCATAATACAGTTCCCCATGTTGTGGTGACCCCCAAGTGGGTGTGGCCACCAATAAGAGGGAGTAGGATAGCTAGGGAAAAGGGAAAAAAATGGCAGACAGCATGGTTTGGTGACCCCCGTGAAATGGTCATTCGACCCCAAATGGGGTCCCGATCCACAGGTTGAGAACCACTGAGCTAGATCATGTAGATACCGTAGCTATGGAATAACTCATGTTCTGGTTATTGGTTGTTTAAAGATCTTTTCCCATTAGACTTCAGATCTGGTATTGTCGTTTCGGAGAGAAGAACCGATTGAATGTGATTGTGTTAATTCTTCTCTACCCCTGAGCCCTCTCAATACCATCAATCAGAATTAGAGGCATCATGAGGGTGGGGAGTGACAATAACACTGTTGTTTGTCACCTTCACTCCTGTTGTAGTGTTTTGAGACATCTCACACAAGTGCAAAAGGACAAAGCACTCAGTGAGATGTTGCTTTCATAATTTTGATGAAATCCTGCAGGTGCTTGTGATCACAATTTCTTCCTGGATTGCCTGTCTCAATCAAGTGTTAAATATATTGCATATATTCTGATCATACTGTATATCAATAATAGTCTGATTCTTATGTGGAAACAATAGCAACAATTGCTTTATTGGGGAAGTGGGAGGTATATAAATTTAATAAATAAATAATAAGATCAGTTATATGATAAGGGTTCTTTGGTAACCTTGCCATGTAATGTGATCAGCCATGTCTGACCCAGCAAAGGAAGGCGATGGATATGTGACATTCAGTTACAGTGGTAATTGTTATGAGTTTTCTACTTCCATAAACACTTTAGACCAAGTTGTATAGTTGTTTACTGAAAGTGCAGATGTTAGTAACTTACTCAAGAGCCTGTTTAGCAGCAGGAATGGATTGGTTTTCATTCAGTTACTTTACAGAATAACGCAAAATATTTAGCAGGCTCCCCTTTCTAGCCCATGATTATTTCCTATGGATCAGATTATTAATTTTGAAAGTCAAGTCACAGCTCCTTCTACACTGTAAGGGTTAATTGCTTGTATGATGTAGTCTGGGTTGAGGAATTGTATCTAACTAACATCACTATGTTAGAGCTAGGCAAACCATTCATGTTCCAAGAAAGATTGGCACATTTTTCTCCTGAGAGAGATTCTGTAGCTTTAATGATTATATTATGTGCTTTAGTTAAATAGGTATGATTTGCCTCAGCGGGAAAATAAGATGTTAAATTTGTAGACTTAAATATGCCTGCTGAGTAGCCGTCAGCTGGGTGATGGGCATTTAGACAGAAGCTTTTTTTTTTTTTTAAAAAAAAAAGCAAAATCAGTTTTGGCATAACGTTTTAAAGAGACAATAATTCTGGATTCCAGAGACTTCTTTTTCCTCAGGGAGACCCATTGAAGAAAAGGAGATCAAATCCTGTTAAAGCTCTAACAGTATAGGATGCTAAAACAGAATATATATGTACTGGAGCAGAAGGTTTGTAATTGCCTAATTCAAGCCCCTCCCTACTACCTGGACTCAGCCTTGAAACAAGAGAAAAACAATCCTTTTTGTAAAGATAACATGATTTTTCTTCTGCTGAAACCAATGAGAGGGGGAAAATCAGTGCAGAGGAAAAGGGGGGCAGTGATAGTGGAAAAAGAGAGCTAATCTAACTGGATTTAACAAATGATTTTGATTTCTTTCTCTCCAGCTCACAGGGCTGGTCTGATTTTTATTCCTGTATGTGTTTGGAATAAACCTAACTGAATGCCATTATAAATAGTTACAGGGTAAGTATTATAATGGAGGAATGCGTGGGGTTTCTTTTCCTCCTTAAAAAAAACATTTTGGGCCAAAAACATTTGCAAATTACAATCACTTTGACATGGCATAAACATTGTTGTAGAATCCCCCAAATCTGACAGATTAGTTAAATCTTAAATCATTAATGATTTAGCTTGGATACATTTCCAAATTAAATCTACAGGGCTTTGGACCAACGATATGGATAACAGTGCATATCATCTAGTTTGTAGATAAAGCTGCTTGGAAATGGGTCCTATTGACTTCCATCATGCCTAATTCTGAGGAAACCCGGAGAACTGCAGCCACAAGTCTGCATTCAAATGTGATATTTTGTAGAATAAATAGCAATATTGCACTGAAGTAATCTGCATGGTGTTTTTCTTAAATAAAATATTTCCCTGTGAGCAGTGCTTTTTTTGTCATAGAATGCACCGGAACGGAGTTCCAGCACCTTTTTTTTTGATGGATTTTCCAAGTTTTAAAAGTAACTTTTGAAAATTTGATGTTTGGTCCACGTGGACCTGAATCGCCCTGTCGAGTGTAGCAGGTCGGAGGCAAAATCATTAAAACGGTGCATGAGGACTGCTTGTGTGTCGAGTCTGATGCATGTGTACTTTGCACTGATTGTGATGGCACTGCTCGGCTTGTGATTGGTCGTGTGGTTGCGCGCTGAGTGCTTACTGTGGGCAGCGACCATTATGTTTTGTTACACAACTGACATGTGTGTGTGTGTGTGTGTGTGTGTACAGTGATTGACTACGTGCGACAGGTAAATAATTTCTTTATTTTAAAAAATGGTTGGTGAATTGAAAATCTTTTTTTTTTAATTTTTAGTGTAAAAGTGTGACCCCAAATTTAAAAATGAAAAAAATTACTAATTACTTCTCAACCACCGGTCCTGCTAAGAACTGAATATATAATTATTTTAATAAAAAGATTAACAAGATGTGAGTTCCGGCACCTTTTTTTTCTTTCAAAAAAAGCACTGCCTGTGAGAACAACAATTTTTTTTTTTTTTTGTATTATGCATCCCTCTAAGGACCTCAAGGCTTCTTGTTAATCCACATTTCAGGAGCTGAAAAAAGCCCAGTGGGTGGGGTTTCCTCAGGATGCCTTCGCTTTCCTTGAAAGGTGGGAAACCTGAAGGGTCTGTAGGTTACTGCTTTTATATTTTACCCCTGTTTTATTTACACTTCTTTCATTTTCTTCCTTTTTATTATTGTAAGCCGTCTAGAGCAGTGGTTCTCAACTTGTGGGTTGGGACCCCATTTGGGGTCGAATGACCATTTCATAGGGGTCCCCAAACAACGCAGTCCACCATTCCCCCCCTTTTCCTTAGCTGTGCTACTCCCTTTTATTCTATTGGCTTTTGAAAGCCAATAGAATAGACTCTCTTGAATAGAGTCTAATTCTATTGGCTTTCAAAAGCCAATAGGAATTGTCCAGGCTGTCTCTGCCCTGCTGAGCCCTCCAACAGTCCCATTCTGCA